TAACATTTTGAACCTTGTAGTGCTGTAATAGCCTACTCACAAATATGTACTGTGCATTAATTGGGGTGGGGAGAGACAGCCAGGAGAGAAAGCCAGGAGAAAGAGAGGAAATTCAATATCCTGTAGGAGAGCTGTGCGGGGTCTCAGATGGGCTGTACATGGTCTCAGGCGGGCTGTGCAGGGTTGCAGGCCAGCTGTACATGGTCTCAGGTGGGCTGTGCAGGTATCAGTGCAGGTGCATCCTTAGTGAATTATAAAAGTGCACTGCTCTTTATAGACCAACTACATAATCTAATGATAATCTACATGTGAAATAATTACAGAAATATTCATTCAATGTCAAACAATAAACCATGTGTCACTTAGTAAAATGTTATTCAGATATCCAAATCGAGCATACATAGCAAACTTTAGGAATGATGGCTCCAATGCATAGAACAATGGAAGAGGAAACAAGCAAGAGGAAAAAGTGTGTCTTCACTTTGCCACGTGAACAGCCTCTAATCTAGTAACTTAGCCCCAGTGATTCTAATTCTTGTGAGCAGACTGTTACTTAGCAAAAGTGAACATTTATGTTACTAAGTGATAAGCCTACACTCCTTTAGTAATTATTTGTTATTTACCTTTTTAATTTCCCTTGTCAGCATACAGCGCTCTATCCTTAGAACTGTGGAGATATCTATGTGCTCACGTGAAATTGAGTTGAGCCAGGTAGTAAAGCTATCAAGTGAGGCAAGGAAAAGGACCCATGTAAACTTCAAAATGTTGAATATTCTTTTGATGATGTTATCTGAAAGTCAAAATAAATCATGATTTTAAAAGGTAAAGAATAACAATCAGAAAATATGTTAAGAATGTTGTAGTAGGAAAACATTGCATACAGCTCTGAAAACAAAGTGGTCTGTTTAATTATAATTATTGTCTGGGAAATATAATTACACTAAAAGGATTTTCACCTATAATTTGCCTTCTTTTAAACTCTTATCTTCCCTTCTTTTATGCTATTTCATGAGCAGAGACATGCAGTAAATTGTCTGTACGTCGAGGTCTTGAAAGTTACAGCAGGTCAGGAAATGTAATGGCTACTTTCAGTTATATTTATATCCAAGAGGAAGGAGTCATATGACAGGTTGAGCAGTTACATGCCAGATTGTCATTTTCATGTCTAATCTCAACAAAAATACATATTTAATGTAGTTCTTTTAAGTGTTTGTGAGTCACACACTTCTGCCTAACTGCATAGCCAGTATGCTACTTCAAGTTTAGTTTCTCTGCTTCCATTTGGACACCACAGGTATTTGTCCATTGTGTCCAAGTGATATAGGAAAATGAAAAACTGAAATAGTAAATCGGAAACAGGCTATCTTATGTGGTAGGGGTTTGTAAATAATAAGGCTGTTTAAATAGAATTACAAGTCCTTTGGTAGATACAATTGTCCCATTACATGTACTTCAATTGTGTATTTAGCTGTTTTCTGGGGTTCTGTAAGCTGAAAGATCTCAACTTATTCAGGTATTTTAATGTGCATAATAGTTGATATTTGGGGTTTTATTATCAACTAGGCATTTAATGAACAATAATAAATCTAAATTAACTCATTTAAAGTGAGACTAAATTCAGGAGTTATATCTTAAAAATGCTTTTAAGCACCTGAACTATTAACACAAATGTGCCTTATCAGTGTATCACTCAGCTGTAGATCCTCAAATCATCTCTGAATTCATGCTGACACTGTCCTTCCTTCTGGAGGGTGACTACTTTTGTTCCCCATGGTCCCTGTGTGTGTTGTAAAGTAGCAACCACTCCAAGCTCTCTCCCACGATAAACTATAATTCGGATTCCAATACACATTAGCAAACTAAACGTGATATTTGAGTCCACATTGGTACATGTCTCCTGTGGCAGTGCCCAGCTATGTGTGTCTTTTTTTTTTTTTTAATCATTGCAGCAAACTGACCTCGAACAAGACCAGAAAAAATAGGATTTGGCTCCCATAGAGTTTAGTGGGGGTCTTACGCTGTGTTTGGGTTTAGCAGATTTTTTCACAGGTTCATTGAACCTCCTGCAAACCCAACTTTGCACGGTTCACTCATCACTTATTAATGTTAGAATTTGGAAAAGTTAGTAATAATTTTTTACATTAGAAGTCTAAAGAATGGATCGACTTTTCATTTATGTAAATTTGCACAGCTTTCATGAAGGTATATTAACTTAGTTTACCTAATGGCCTAAAACAGTTCATGCAGAACCACATTTAACACAGAATTCCCTTTGAAATTGTCTTGAACTGACTTTAATTCAAATCCTTAAAGCTGTCTTTATGTGTGATTGTTTATCCAGTAACCCGTTGCTACTTTGTAACATGTGGCTTTTGTGGCATTGCTAAACACACTGACTAAGTATTTTTCCTATAAGTTTTAGGGTATTGACCTTTGTACTAACCAAACTCTTGGAAAGGATACCTAGGATTGCTGCCAAACTTCTAACATTAAGATGCACAAATGCCTATGTGTAAAATACAGTAGTCTTTAAGCACAACTATATATAGCAATGGACAGCAAGTATTGCTTATGATTAATAGACAGTAGCAGATGAAATAGTCACATTATGTTAGTTAAGAACTAACTTAAAGGTCTTTAACTTTTGGAGCTCTATCAATTCTGAAACTAGTTTTTAATTACATCTTTGAGTGAAGGTTGTATGCTGTAACAGTGATATAGCCTGGGGCTCAACAATAGATCATGTATGTGATTATATCAGCCTTTCTCAACCAGGGTGCCCTGGCACCCTGGGGTACCTCCTGGCTACTTCAGCGATACCTCAAAATTTTTGCACAGCGTCACGCCTTTCCATTGTACAGACAGGCTTCTGAAGTGAAGGAGGCTCCTCATGTGAAAGAAGAACTTTGTGAAATGGGGGGACACTGATATAAAAGGGGAGTTCTGATGTACAGGGGGGCTCCTGATGCAAAGGAGACTCTGATGTGAGACTCATTTTTTGTGTTTTTGTGTGCAAATTCCCCCCCCCGTAAAACCCAAAAACCCATACCAAATCCATATCTGAGGTAAGTGTCTGGTATAAATTTTGGAGGGCCACATGCCACGTTTTATATTTTTACATTTACATTTTTTAAAGGGTGCCGTAACGGAAAAAAGGTTGAGAAACACTGGAGTGTTGACAGGGCCTTAGACACCAATAAGGTTAGGATAAGCATTAATGCATTGCAAGGGTTCAGTATGCATCAAGTTGTTATATTTTATTACTTAGTAATATATAGTTGATACTGTAATAAGAATCTATAGATCTATAACATATTATCCATTTGCACATAGGCAATTCAGTCAGGACCATTTTGTAACTTGGTATCACAGTCACTACTGTCATTAACCTACCTGGGCCATCCGACTTTTTTTTCCCATGTTCCTCTTCTTTATCTTCACATTCTATAATAATGTGACCTGAAAGGTATCACACAATAATGTTAGGTTTTCTTTAATTTATAGTTATTTTTATTGTAAATAATATATTATAATCAGCTAGATGTAAATTACATTTTCAGTGCGTGGCAATGTGTTAAAAACCTTCTTTGCCTCTTTACCTGTACACAATACCCTTTACTTCAGATGTGGAGGAACATGTGACCATCTTTACTGTGAGGGTGTTCATGAATAGAGGCCAATCACTATGTCTGAGCACTGTCACATGACCAGGGGAGTGATTTTACTACTTTGGGCATCGACACCAGTCATTTTGGTGCTGGATAAACAGAAAAAAGGAGCAGCAAGGGATCCCTGGTAAGATGGTTATAGGGGGTCAGGGGTGTCGTTTTCAGAGACGCTGTCACCTTGACATGAATGGCCATGGTGACAGAGCCTCTTTAATGCTTCTGCCTACAATGCAATTTTATGAGACAGCCAACTGCTTGAACACAATATACCCCCCTATGTGGCTGATATTTTAACAGTTGTTAAGAAGGTTTGCAAAATAAGAGTGTATACGTAAAAACTCAGAGCAGAAACAAAATTAACCATTGCAGTGTGGCCACCCCCATACTGCAAGGGTTAACGGCTCGTTTTGGTCTTGGGTGTAAAAGAAAAAAAAAACTCAAACAAACCTCGGACCTGCCTGGCTGGTAGAACGGTCCCCGCAGCCTCTCCCCCCCTGCTCCGGCAGTCTAAGGATCCGTGAGTCATCACATCTAATAGAGTATATAGGACATGATGACGCTGAGGGACATTCCCCATTTGGAGTGTAGGAGGAGAGAGACTGCAGGGACCGATCTAGCAGCCAGGCAGGTAGGAGGTTCGGGTGAATATATCTTTTGTATATATTTTGTATTTTACACTCTAGACCATAATGCAGGGACGTGCGGTCAGGGGAGGCAGGTGAGGCAGAGCCTCACCTAGTATTATGAAGAAAAAAGGTGTCAGTTTCAAGTCTGAAGCTGACAGCTTTTTCTCCAATCAGATCGGCTTCTAGCAGGTTACACAGCAGGGAAATCCTCCCCACTGTGTAACCTGTCATGGACGGAGCGCTGCCTGCTAATTACAGGCAGCGCTGCATCTGGCTTTTGACAGGTAGTTAGGTAATACAGCAGCGGGCTTCCCACTGCTTGTGTAACCTAACTAGTGAGGCAGAGCTGCCATAGCCTCTACTATGTGTTAGAGGGTGAGCTCTGTGGATGGCTTGGACCAATGGCAAAGCGCCATTGCTCCAATCTGTCCAATCTAAAAAAGAAAAAAAAAACCCACTGAGGCCATCGATCTTGATGCATCAACAGTGACGAGCAAGTGAGTGACAGGGAGGCTCCTCCCTGTCTTCTCCCTTCCTCCTCCATCCCTCCTTCACACTACCTTGGGGATCAGATTTAACTGAGCAACCTTTTGACTGGGTGAGATTATCTGCACATTAAATGAAGACTTTGGCATGCATGTACAAGCTCTAATAAAAAAAATAATGTTTTTTTGGAACAATGGGGTATCTCAACACACCAGTTTACGGTATACTGATATTGTGATATGATGAGCTGTACCTTCTGCAATTCCCTTGCGTCTCATTTCCTTCTGTTTTTCTTCTTTGCTTTCCTTACGTCTTTGTTTCAGGGCAGTTTTGGGATCTGTGATCCAGGCTTGATAAACAAACTAAACAAAACACAGTTATTTTATTGAACTATCACTGTTATAGAGGAAATGGTAAAGATAGATGTTGATAGCGAAAATGGTCTGTCCATATCTGGATAGTCTGATCGATGGAGATAGGAAGAATGATGTGGTCTGTAAATACTGGCTACACTACAAAATGGGTTTTACTATGTGTACTTTATGAATCAGAGTTACACAATCTGTAAGCAAGGCATCCAGGGTGCTAGGAGTCTTACAGATGATTGTACAATATATTACAATTAGTGATGCACCGATATATCGACCGCCGAAACATATCGGCCGAAAATTGCACTTTTGGCATAATGCCGAAAGTGCAATTTTCTGGCTGATATAGCGGTGCATCCGTTCTTTCTCTCCTCCCCGCCGTGCGCTGCTCTGTGCCCCAGCGGGGAGGAGAGAAACTGTCACAGGCGGCCGAGCGTTGCGGGAGGAGAGCGCTGTGAGCGCCCGGCGTCTCTCCTCCCCGCACCGCTCAGCCTCCTGCCACAGATCGGGAGAGCGGTGGGGGCGAGGACAGCCAGTGCTATCACAGGAGGCTGGGCTCTCCTCCAGCACCGCTCGCTCAGTCTTCTGTGACAGCTGTCAGGATGGTGAGCAGTACAAACACTCAGTGATCAGTGATCGCTGAGTGTTTGTAAATAATTGAGGACATAGCATGTTGACTATATGCTCAATTATGAATGGATGGAAAGTGTTCTACATCACCTCCTGTTCATGCATGATTGTTGATATAGTAAACATACTATGTCCACATGTTATAAATGAACAGGAACACTCAGTATAAAGGACTCCTGCTCATTTAAAAAAGGGGCTGCAGAAAAAAAGATGGAGGACTCTGTGTCCTCCATCTCTTTTTCTATTTTAAAAGGGAAATATCAGGGGTCTGTTTAGACCCCTAATATTTCCCCAAAGCCCCTAAAAGTAAAAAATAAAAATATTTAATAAAAAATTTATAAAAATAAACAAAAAATTTAAAAAAGTTTATAAAAATTAAAAATTAAATATTTTAAAAAATTTGAAAAAGTTAAAATAAAAAACATTTTCGGTTTCGGCCTGACATTTTTAAAAAATGTGGTTGAATTTTGATTTTAAGATTTTTATTTTGGTGCACCTCTATTTATAACGTAACTACCTCTTTTGGGGGACTTTTATCATGTGTTAACATAGGCACACTGATACTTTGGGGTTGATTTACTAGAGGAGCACAGCATTTATACTTTTTTTTTTCATTTTAATAAGTGAACACAATCTACTTCTTTAGTAAACCAACCCCTTTGGATGATTGTTGCCAATGAGATATGAATTCTAAAAATGGAATATGAACAATATCTGCACATACTGTATCTTCCAGTTGAAGGTGATCCGGCCATAATGAAATAAACCTACAGGTCAGTAAGAGCCTAAACTTAAAAACAAAAGTGTTGAAACCTAAAAACATTATTGCAGCATACCAGTCCTTAGATGTAGTGGCTGCGTTCATTCTCTGTTTTGTTCATGCTTTTCCCTTTTATTTAATTTGGTGATCCTACAAACAATGCACTTTCTAGCCCTTAGAGGTACCAGTCCTTAAATGTGGTGGCTGCATTCATTCTCTGTTTTGTTCATGCTTTTCCCCCTTTAATTAATTTGTTGATCCTACAAGCAATGTACTTTCTAGCCCTTAGTGGGTGCCCATGGAAACTGGTTGCCACCCAGACCTGAGTTCAATCATATCTGCCTCAATCATATTAATCTCCAGTACATAGGGGTGGTGGAATTAGTAGTTTACATTGTTAAAACAGATGACACTGTTTCAGCTTATCTCACAGGAAGTGATAAGGATAACGCATTATTGCACAATTAGCAGGTATTTTCTGTACTTGCTAAAAATGTTCCTGAAAAATGAAAATAATACAGCCATCTAAGAACTGGTAAACTGCAAAATACTGAATTTATGTTGTTGGGTTTAGTTATCTTTTAATCCACCAGGGTGGATACCTTTAGAAGAATGTGTTCCCCATTGTATTTTCTACCAAAGGAATAGAACACTTGAACTTAGCAAATGCTATGTTCACATCTTAGTGAATGAAGTTAAAGCTGTATTAATTTAATTCTGTGCCAAACAAAATCTTACTTTTTAATACCATGCACATGATTGGGTATTCAAAAGGAAAAACACAGCTTCAATTTATTTACTATGCTAAGTGAACATTCCCTTTGCTATGTAAACTTTATTTACCCCATAAGTTACTAACCAAAAACCAGTATGTAGTCCCCAAGTTAGTAAATTGCTGCTTCTATCAGAACTTTCTTTTATTTTGTGAAAGATTCACAAAACACATACAGAACATACTAAACTAAAGAAAGTAATTAAAAATACTAACCACCCACAAAAAGCACTGCAGAATTTATACTGCATGATAGATACACTAGATCTATACCTTAGCCATGATCTGCCCAATGCTTCTTGCTTGTCAACAGTTATTTTCTTCTATAAAATAATTTTCTTTAATTGTATATGTGATGTAGTCATGTATATTGTGTCTATGTTTGTATTGGTGTATGAATAACAGAATTGATAAAATTAGAAAGTACTAAAATGCTGCTGTTTCACATAAAAAAAAACTAGTCAAATTTGTTCCAAACCTGCGCTAGAAAAATGATGACACGGATCTAAGTAACACAGCCGTGAGCTATACAGTTTGTTCTTTTAGAACAGCTTTTCACATTTTAAAGTACAAATAGAATCATTAATAATTAACTAACAGTTAATATTTCTTTATGCAGAGTCTTAGTTTACCTTTAAGTGATATTTAAATATAAAAATGTACTTGTAGTGTAGAAATCAGTCAGTTTACAACTCGTAATTACGTTGACCTTTTATTTGTAACTGGTATTTAGGAATGACCATTCGGGGGCATAATTAATGGATGCACATAAGACCTAAAGCCACAAGCCAACACTGAGATCTTTTTACTATGTCACAATAACATTGCGCCATACCTATTTTTAATAAGAATTTAAAGTGGATCTGAACCTAAAAAGTTAAAATTTTTTGCTATGCTGTAGGGAATATTTAAAAATGTTGATTTTGACTAAGAAGTACCCAGAACACTCTACCTTTTTGTCTTAAATTTCTTCTTAAAATATATCTATGCATTTCCTGGTATGTGAGAGGGCCTATGCACTACCATGCCTACAGCCTCATAGTAGTATATCTGCTGTGTGAGATCTAAGACACTGCTGACTCTGACTGCTAATCTCTGATTTTCTTTTGAATGAGATCTGGTGATGTCACTCAACGTTCTCCTTGTTGGAGACTTTGACACATGCAGACAAAGCTCTGCCTATATCAAGATGGCCATCCGAACATAGAGACACAGTGCAGAACAAGGCACAGTAAGTCAATAATGGGAAAAAGATCAGCTGCAGGCTGCAGTTCACAAGCATTACAACTGACTACTTCTTTGCCTCTGCTTGCCTTTTTTTTTGGTTGGGGGGCATAGTTTTCATAGTTCATTTCCTCTTTAACAATTTTACCTATGCAAAAAAATTTCATTTTTTTTTTCAAAATCATTATGCATCCAGACAGAAGACCATTTTTTTGTGGCCCAGTGAGTTTCCTGGGGCACAGTAGTAGTATTAACTGCTATGGCTACAGCTTTAATAACCATATTTTTACTTTTTAGCAACACATCAGAAGAAGCCAATAAAATATTCTTGAGCCTATTGCCCTTTTCTATCTGTTGTAGAACATAAAAGTGACATGAAGAAAACAATTTTCAGTATCACCACTGATCTAAAAAAATCATTATAGTTGTATCACTCACTGAGTGTCTTCCAACACAAAAAAACCCAAAGTAATTTGCACTGCACAGCCTTGCACATGTGAAGTGTTTTTACAGCACACAGCAAAGGACAACATATACCATGGGATTGTGACTCGAAATAGCTGTGTGTGAAATACACTGTGTAATATACAATTATTTAAATTATAATCCATAGCTGACAGTACATTTATTATATGTCATGGAATGACAAAAAAAAATTAGTTGAAGCTTGTCTATATTCTGTTCTCTAGATTTAGTATGGGCTATTCCCCTGTGTTGCTTTCAGCTATTATGAGATTTATAAATAATAAATTAATAACTCAACAGTTACAAAAGTAAAGTGAATTTAATTTCAGATTTTACATTTTTTAGAAGGTGCACTGGGGGGCCATTCAGAATGAATGGCAATGCATCGCACCAACACACAGCGCGCGTTGTCACAGTATGGCAGTGTGAATGGAGCCTTGAAGCAGCTATAGTAAAGAGGTCATCCCCACACAGCTACCTCCTCATGTATCATTTCCCCCTCCAGATTGTAAGCCCTCAGGGGCAGGGCCCTCCTTACCATCTTGTCTTGAATTGTAATGTCTTCCTTATATTGTAAAGCGCTGCGCAAACTGTTGGCGCTATATAAATACTATTTAATAATAATAAGGTCAGGGTTGGCTTGTTTTAGGCCCGGTGCAGACCTGAATGTCCCGGGATCACGCGGTTCCTGGGAAAATGCACACAGCCATTGCCGCACGGGCCCATTTATTCTCAATGGGGTGACATCTGCACGGCAATCGCAGAAAAAAGGTACATGTACCTTTTTTTGCGATACACCAAACGTGGCTGCTTCCTGCGGGATCCGCCCGGCGCGGCTGGGGTGCCATTAGAAAATAATGGCACCCACAGCGTGTGGAATCGTGCACGATTGCCGTGTGATCAGAAGTCGCCTAGGTGTGCACCGGCCCTTAAAGCTCCTTGAGGCTAGGTTCAAGCCTAGGCGATTCAGATGCTGAGCTGTTTTCGTACAGTTCTAGCGCGTTTTCGATCACGTGACTGTGCATTGAAAACCGTGCGGTTTTCAATGCATAAAGATGTCTATGGGATCCAAACCGCTCACCAACCGCCCAAAAATAACACCTGCACCTTTTTGCGCGACAGGCGATTTCGTCCGTGCGACAAACCGCAAAGGTGTGAACAGCCTCCATTGACTTCATTGCGAATCTGTGTTTGCGCGATAAATCATCTAGGTGTGAATCTAGCCTTACTGCTTAAAAAGAATATGTTAATAGTTTAATCTCCAAAGTCTGGGCACAGGTGCACTTTTAGCTACATTTATAGTTTTATATACATAGCTAAAATGTTTGATTAAATGAATCTGCAATTGTGGATGCTTACAAGGGAACCTATAATAGACAAAATATCTATGCTCTCATTCCCAATACCCTTCTAAGAATGTTAGTCAGATTCTCTTGCTGTTCCTGTGGTCTTACTTAATTGGTAATGGTAATACAGGAATTTATCTTATGAAAGATTCCATGTAATGCACTGTGGAAGAACTGGGACCTCTGACAGTTTGTTAGTGCTGTCCTTTTTTCTAAAAATGCTAGTTGCCTCACCCTCATTCTGGTCCTCTACCTTCAATGATGGGGAACAAAAATACAGCAAAGTAAATTCAGAAAGACATCAGAACATGGGGTGCATAAATGGTTTCAGGCCATGGATTCAAGAAATATCATAGATGGACATCCACGAAACTAACATTTTTAGAAATAGGTCAGCAATGGCAACTTATATACTTATTTCACTAAATGCTTCCTATAAAAGTACAAAAATTTAGTTTCTGTCTCAGTTTTATGTTTGATTCATTTCTTTTATGGAGGGCTAATATAGATCTCCAGCTGTTGTAAGCTAATAGTCAACAAGCAATGGTTGTAGGTTTTGTCCTAAGTTATGGATATTAGAGATTTTTCTGGATTAAATTCTAGAAGTAGGAGAGTGTAGGTTGGAGACAACCCACGCCAATATACACGGCTCTTAAAAACATGTCTATTTGTTTAATGAAAGCAGAATATTCTTTTAAAAGTGAATTTATTTGTACAAATCAGTTACTCAAGAACTCATTGTATATGGTGTCCCTATATTCTCCTCTAACAAACTTAATTTTAACTGAAATATACATGTGTTTTCATAGAGATAGACTTGTAGTATTTCTATGATTATACAATCATATGCCTTTATCACTTTATAATTGCACAATACGATCAACTACAAATTTTCCACAGTCAAAATAATGCATTGTATAAAGGATTATCATAGACAGATTATCATTTGTACTAACAAATGAAAATGCTGTTATTGGCATTGCATAATAAATGGTAGCATGCAAGATACCACAAAAAGCAGATAAGAAGTATATTATCTTCATGCACAAGCAACCCCCGAAATGCATGCATAAGGTGATACAACCAAACCAGGGTCTCAGGGAAGCTGGAGATTAATTATACTTTTATACAGTTAAGAACAATAAGCACAATTTTCAGGTACCGGGTTTGTAAACATTTTTTCCCATTTAAGAGTAGGGAAATGCTTGTTCCTACCCATGACAGTCTTCTAGAGAATAGGCACTCAACTAAACTTGTCTAAGCAATATTATAACAAATGTTTGGACATGCTAATTTTGAAATAACAGTATGGCATGTTTGTTACACCACTAACTCAAATCAACTGTCAAATGCATTCTATCTCAACAGACCTAAAACACAAGTAAACAAAATAGACCTATGACACAAATTGTTATATATGAATTGCATAGCATATTAATACATTGAAGGTCAACCTGTTAATATGAAGCTGATATTTTCCCGAAGATTAGCTAGCCTCTTTTCAGTCACTACTAACTCTGAAATGACTAATACCATAAACCCATATTTAATGCTTTTCTTTACAGTTTAGTAATTTAGTAAATCAGATATAGAGAGTATGGGGATGTACCGATACCGATACAAGTAGCGGTATCGGTGCCGATACAGAGTATTTGGGCGAGTACTCAAACTCGCCCAAATGCTCCAATACTTACCTCCGATACCAGAACTTCCATTCAGAGGGAGATCTCCCTCTGACTGGCAGTGCAGAGGGAGCATTGAGCCGGTTTTCTTTCCAATCAGGAAGCCGGGAGGTGGGTTATGACCTGCCTCCCAGCTTCCTGATTGGCTAGGAAGCTGGCTTCACTTGTTGCTAGGCAGCCTGGCTTCCTAATCAATCAGGAAGCCAGACGGCACATAATGACCCACCTCCCGGCTTCCTGATTGGTTAGGAAGTCAGGATGCAGAGGAAACAAGTGAAGCCGGCTTCCTAGCCAATCAGGAAGCCAGGAGGCGGATCATGATGGGCTAGGAAGCCAGCTTCACTTGTAAGTGGGCAGCTGGGCTTCCTAACCAATCAGAAAACCGGGCGGCAAGTCATGACTCACGTCCTGCCTTCCTGATTGGTCAGGAAGCCACGCTACCCAGCAACAAGTGAAGCCAGCTTCCTAGCCAATCAGGAAGCCGAGAGGCGAGTCATGACGTGCCGCCCAGCTTCCTGATTGGCTAAGAAGCCAGATTCACTTGTGGCTAGGAGGCCTAGCTTCCTGACCAATCAGGAAGCTGGACAGCACCTCATGACTCGCCACCTGACTTCCTGATTGGTCAGGAAGCCAGGCAGCCTTGGCAAGTAAAGCTGATGTTCTTTCGCTAAAACACCAGCTTCACAGGCAATCAGGAAGCTAGCCGATGGGTCATGACCTGCCCCTCAAATTCCTGATAATAGGGGCACACAGCACCAGTACTCAGTACTCTGTATCAGCGAATACCGGAAAAAAATATATGTACTCGTACTCGATACCAAAAAAACTATATTGGTGCATCCCTAATAGAAAACTATGGTGTTTTCACCCTAATACATGCATGTAGATCTGTCTAATATGCAAGGAAATATGCAATTCATAAATCAAGGCGATTGTAATTCACCAGTTGTATGATTTTCCAATAATTAGGCAAAACTGCATGTATATATTCAGGTAAATTGAAAAATTGCAATTTGATGATTTGACTAATTCTCAGATTGAGCCTCATGTTACTACCTTACTGGATCAGTTTGACCAAAATACAATATTTATTTAGCATCAGGGATGTCCTCTATCATATTGATCTCAAGCGTTGTCAGAATCATTTACACTGGGGAGCACGACTTGTTCATTATAGCAACTTCCTTTTAATACTAAAGATTTTATTTCATGTCAACTGCTTCTCTATCCACATAAGTCAATGATAATGCAAAATATGCTTGAAGCAAGTTGACAAAGCTTAAAAAGATATCAAATGCAGGCCAAAAGGAGGTCAACTGGGGGGTCAATTTCACCTGTCAATGAACTGCAAATGATCTCAGAAGTGCCTCAAACTGATATGAGAATGCATCTGAAATCCCAACAACACAAGCCCTTACCTGGGCATATAATCTTCTTTTTTGGCATTAGGGACTGAAAGAATACTACTCACTGGGCATTAACTATTAGTAATATACTAAAAAAACTGGACATCCAGGACAGGCCAATATTTTTAGATTTGACAACTATTACTTTGCACCCATTCTTGTTATATGCTGGGTTACATTCTGGGTTTGGGATTTTCTAAGTATCATTAAGCACAACATAGCAATCACAAGAAAAGTAGAAAAGGTTCTGCACACATTTTGCCAACTTTGTTTTGGCAAATTGGTGAAAGCCTCTAGTTTGACATAGGAAGCATTCTTTTTAATCAACTCATGGTTATGTAATCTTTAACGTCATCCTAAATGAGGGGTGCTGAAAACATAAATATCTGATAGATGTCATTATTTCTAGCAGAACAGTTTATCTCAAATATTTTACAATGGTGTACATGCTTTATGCGCAGTTATGTGCACCAAGTATATAAGAGCATGGTTAACAACAGTTATCACCAGACTTTCCCTGTTAGTTTGCACCACTCACACATCCTAACTAAATAGTAGCCTGTTGTTTAAAACCAAAATGAGCATTAATGCAGCATGACTGCCTAATTTAACATTTGTCTTACCAGCTTCCTGAGAAAAGAATATGGAAAAAAACTATCTACTACCCTCAAGGGTGCATGCACATGTTACGATTAATCAACAATAAATATGAAATTATGGAAAGAGAGCAATGCTTACATTTGCATTTCCCCAGTAACAATTAACATTAAATAAAAGGCATGTATTTAGAAAAATAAAATGTCAGAGAGCTAAATGAATTATGAGATTTTCAAATAGTAGCCAGCATTCCAAATTTTGTTTTACATACATGCCCTTGAAAATGCATATGGAGAAAGCACAAATGAGGCATTTGAGAGGGTATAGACACTATTCCTACAGCACAATTTGCACATACTATTGAAATTCCTGTTGTATACCTTTGCAGCTCTGATTAAATATTGAAGAATTGTTTTAGGCAGTTTAATGACAGACTTTGGCAAGGCTAAAAGGGCTGAAGCAAATTTTCCAATAGCTCTCTAAAAGAAGGACAAAGCAATAGGAATTAGTAGAAAACAGTGAACATTAATAATGACTAAATCTTAAACCACATAGAAAAGCACATTGACGGCAAGCTTGACATTAGTTGTGAGCACACGTTACTGGTTGTATATATGATGTATGTGTTTGTTATTTGTGTTAAAGTTGATAGAACATCATGCTCGAAAGAACCTTTTAAACAAAATGTCTATTATAGGTGCTGTTTTTATTTAATGAACAGTTCTAATAGTTTCCACCACCTTTGAGCCTTTGATTATAAAAACAACCAAACCTAACCCCAAACTAAACTCTAACATGAATTAACCCCTATTCTGTTGAATACTTGCTATGAAAGCAAGCAGCACCAAGGTTATGTCTCACAGTACTGAGTTTTGAGTGCTTATTGTTTTTGATACAGCCACTTTAAAAGAGCCACTTTTCAGACTGTAGTTAACTCTAATTTATTGGCTTTATTTATTTATTCTTTAGTAAATATGATACTATGATTGTTTTAATTCCTTCCATGATTACTGCACTAGCTATAAGCTTATATGTAGAGTTTTTAATTTTCATCACCAATTTAAGAACAATTTTAGCATGTTAACGTTCTGCAAAGCAGCATAGAAACTTAAAGCACCTTTTTCATATGCTGAGGAAATATACATAAGCACTTAGGCTTGTGAATATGAAACTCCGTTAAAAAAGCACAACAGACACAATATATTTAGTAAAAGATAGAAGAAAGTTTAAACAAGTCATTGCATTCAAGCAATTAGTGCAGGAAACCCCATTATTTTCACTTCCTTTTTAAATTATTGCCATATAAATTATTGCCATATATATTATTACCCTGAAGGGAGAAAAAAAGCTGGCATTAACATATCAACTTATTAACATGTATCACAGTTCAAGCAAATTAAAGCAATGCCAAAATGTGCCTCTTCACTTTCTTCCCTCCTATTTTACTGAAAAATAAAGTTTGAATTAAAACTTTATTTTTTCAGAACTTCTCCCAGTAAAAGTGAAGACAGGCTTATACCAAAAACACCTTTCTCACAATGAAGGGTTTTGTCAATGCTATGGGCAAGCAGCATTGGATCTGAATGAATCAAGTGTTCATTTCAGTAGTAAACTTACTGTATAAAAACAGAATGAGACAATCTATGTAAAAGCGTTCCCCTACAGCAAGAAAATCTGCTCATTGTCCACAATGCTTACACTTCCTGGTCTAAACCTACCTGGAAAGCTGATTTCCTTCTTGGTTCATCGTCATCTTTATTATCATCATCTTCTTCCTCTTCACTGTCCGTCTCAAATAAATAATAATCACCGCTTCTGACCACTAAGCAAGATAAAGTAGTTACTCACTTCTTAAACTTTTAGAAAGGTCTGACAGGCTTAAGAACTGATAAAGTAACACCTCATAATCAGTGAGCAGATAAGGTCGTTTGCTGTGTTAATGGTTAACTGCTGTAATGTAAGGGCACTTACCCTTGGAGGGCCCCAATCCCCAGCAGTTCTATAAGAGTATATATATTCTTGTCCCCGCTCTGCCAAGATCTTCAGTGTACAGCCTGCTCGACTCTGCTCAGGCCCTTCTTTATTATCCTCCTTCTCCTGCCCATGCATGCTGTGGACTCCATTAATTGAAATGAAATGCTTATACACTGACAAGAGGCATAACAGGTAAGGTATGTGCTCCTACAGAGCTGCCTGGGAGGGGAATGGCACCCTCTAAGGGTATGTGCACCATAGCACTTTAAGAATAATATGTATTTTATATAGCATGAAATATATCTTTGTTGGTATAAACCTTACCAGTAAAATGAGCTTTTAAATGCCACAACAGTAATACAAGAGTAATTTTTGTTTCCTAGCCTGTGCCTATTTACTGGAATCTAATGACTAGGGCTCACTGGAAAATGAGGCACATAGGCTTCTGTTATGTTTATATATACATGTTGTTGATTTGAGATAAGCACATATCAAGTTAAGCCTTTATAACCAAATAAATGTCTACTACAGACTTTAGATGGTGGGTGGTCTACTGAATGAGCTTTCCAGAGAAAGATGGTTGAACTAACATGCAGAATCATTTGGGGCATTTTTCAGATATCCCTGCTGCTATCCTATTTCAGGGGTAAAAACAAAAAAGTGTTTGCTAATGATAATCCAACCTGGCTTGCTGACTCTGGCCCCATAACGGTTCATAAACAGGAACAGTCTTATTATTTGAATCTCCTTTATATCAAGGGATATAAATACCGCAGCGCTGAATACTGAAAAATGGCCTGGATGGGAAGGGGGTTTAACACCGCGGATGTCAACTGGTTAAAAGAACGAATACAGTAGCATGAATCCCTTTAGGAGCTTCAGGCACAGTTTTGACCCAATGCAGTGAGAAGTGAAGCAAATGTTTTGTTAAAAGCTCATATGCATTGGACCATTTGGTATGAGATAGTACTGTGCAAAAATAAAAAACATGTGCCCCTTTTTAAATCAAGTGTACACTGTAAAAGGTGACCTCAGGTGAATGCACATTAGTACTTTGCCTATTAATGTGGCAAACACTCCCCTGCTGCCATCCTCAAACATGAATGAAATTCCAATACTCTCCCTAACAGTGTTAAATGATTACATAACAACCTCCCCTTCTCCTCCCATATATAGATGTCAGAGCAGCAGAGAAAAATGTTGGTGTATAATTTACTCAAATGAAAACATCCATTAAGAGTTATAACAATTGGACAAAGGCCAAACTACCTGTCACTCCTAGTCCTAGGAGATGAAATCCCAGCTATTGCCAACTTTGGCATTTTCAGAACTCTTACTTGGCTTTCAGCTCAACATTGGTGTCAATTTCCCCATGCTAAATTCTCCATCCATTTCTGTAGATTATTTATTAGTCTACAAGATGTTTAAGAAGCTTGTAGATGTCTTATTCAGCTGCCTTCTACCCAAAACGGATATTTTCATTTGGGTGGCTTTAGAATTTATCAGCACTTCAATGTCTTAACAATTGGGAGAGGAAACACGGACAGTAGCAAATACATTGTAAACATCTATAAGTTAAGATAAAAGCCTAAATGAATAGTGCTGCAAACAAAGAAATGCAGACTGCAGAGTAAATGTATAAGCATCAGTTTAGTGCCTGTTAGTTAAGAAAGACCATTTACGCCTCCATTATAATAAGTATGTTAATAACCTTATATCCTTGAGCAGAACATTTTTGCTTTGACATTATACATTTTACTTGTTTATCAAGCCTAAGGACATACACACAGCAAAAGGAAAGATGGCCAGCATTATGTGAAGGCAGCCACACCATTGTTTTCTACATAAAGAGGATTTGCTAAAGTAATGCATGAACGTAAGCTTAACACCCAGATGACAGTCCCTGTGATAACAATGAAGAGAAACCAATGACAAATGATTATTTTGCCCTCATTATTTATCATCCGTTAAACAGAAATTTAACTTTGTGTGTATTCTGTTCTATTTTTAAAAGAATTCATAGCTACTTCAGCTTCATCACCCTGCATTACTTTAAAGTGACACTAAACTCAGCAATTAAATCTTACAAATACATTTAAGTACCTTTACTATTAACAAAACTGTACTTTATTTGTGTATTAGTCAGCTGTGGATCCTCAAATCATCTCTGAATTCACACTGACACTGTTCTTCCTTCTGGAGGGTAGTTACTTTTGTTCCCAATGGTCTCTGTGTGTGTGTTGTAAAGTAGTCACCACTCCAAGCTCACTCCTGTGATGGAGTACAATCTCAGTACAGATTAGTATACAAAATGGAGTGGAGAATGGAGTGCTGGCTACTTCATAACACACACAGGTAATATAGGGAACAAACATAGCCACCCTCCAGATGGTAGGACTGTGTCAGCTAAAATTCAGAGATCATTTGAGGGTCTACAGCTGAGTAATACACAAATAAGATACATTTTTGTTATATTCTTGTTAATAGTTAAGGTACTTGAATGCATTTTTAAGATTTAACTCCTGAGTTTAGTGTCAATAAGACAATCTAGGGCTGTCTATCTAGGGATTTTTTTGTCAAAGAAAAGGAACGGGTGCGCCCCTTCCTCTTTTCCTTGGACCACCCTTGTCCACCTTGAAGTTGGAAAGGGATCAGTAGGATGCTTTTTAGCTCCTATGTACAGGACCAGATCTCATTTTGTGCTTTCTTTTGTGTTCTGTATATTGATAATTAGGGTTGACAAGAGCCAATAAAATAACAGTACTGTTCCCTTATAAGCCAGCCTGTAACTTTTTTAGATTAGTAATCCCTTCCAGTCTTTATAAATAAGAATCAATTATGTATTTAAAGTTCCCCTAGGATATGACAATAATAAAACTTAGTTAACTGGAAGGTGTTTTGTCTCCTAGGGAACTTCACAATTGTGTTAGATCTGTGCTATACAATTATATCTACAAATTATTGGCCAACATACACAAATGAATCACTATGTGATAGGCTTTCCCAGACATATTTATCTTGGGTATACAGCTCATGCTTCATGCATTAGGTGTCTTGCCACCAGGACTTCTGGTAAGTATAAAAATAAGTCTTGCTTACAGTAATACCTGTAGGGGTTCTTGTATGAGCAATAGTAGTTTATTCCAAACAGGCCCATTACAAATAATAACATCTGCTCAGTCAGACCACAGAACCCATTTTAGAAAGTTGACTTGTTTATTAGGAATTAAGTAGTTTCTACATTTCAAAATTTCCAGAAATGACTTAAAATGAACTGCGGCCACACAAAGAAATATTATATGCAAGTTGGAGCCTAAAAATACTAATACTATTGATGATTTTTTAACTTCCTTTAAATGTATGCTATACTGGCCTCTACAATTAATCCCTACAAATAGGAGAGATGAGCATGACCGAGAAGCATTAATGCAGTTAATATCATAATGTAGGCTAATATTCTACTCTCTTTATGGTGCAATAGAAATGTTTAATGTAATAATGAGGGCAAACATGACAGCAATACATTGCAGAGGAGCTGTTCATTTGGGCAATAACTTTAAACATTAAGGCCTGTGGTTGGGCAGCTTATGGTTAGCATTGGGCACTATTATCAAGGCCATACTGTAGAACACTTTTAATAAGTGGGATCACAAAGTAATGGCTATAAGTCCCAGGGTTTTGGATCTGAGGTTTGAAAATGGATTTACAAACTGGATTGTTATACATTGACCTATATCAGTGGTGCCATAATAACTGATGCCCAAATCACTGCTACCCAAAAGGACAATACCCAAATAATACAAAGCCTATACAAACCGTAATTTGAATGCTCAAATGATACATACTCGTTGCGGAACTACTAATATACTCACGCTACATGTAAATGAAATATTAATAAGAGAAATATTCACCATGCCAGTGGATCTGTTGCAAGCATGTATTTGAATAAGACCCTTATTAATAAATTTAGGAAGATATTTTTGTAATAGTGTAAAGCATAAATTTGACATATACCATTGTGACAATGTATGCAAACGAATCAACATAATATCCTCCATGGAAAATACAGTATCTGCTATGAACAACACAGCAGAATCCTGACAGTATATGTCCAAAATACACTTCACAGCATTCATACGTTTAACCCCTTTGCTGCCAAGGAATAGTAAACTGTCGATTCCATTAGCAGCCAGGAGGTTAGACTATAAACATGTTGGCCTTTATTTCTGCCATGACAGCATTATTGACCTTAATATTAGTTTTCAAGAGAAATTAAATTTAGGGTATATGTAGGAAATATAGGCCAACATCATAATGTACAGTTAACAAATGAGATGGGTCTCATCATTTTTTTATTTAGGAAAAAGAAACACTGGCATAGTTTGTTTGTGACTCCACAGATTTACTTTGCAATGACATATTCATTTGTCATATCAAAATTAAACACTTGAAACATTTGAGAGAAATTATACAATTTTCTTTGGATTTATATGACTGTGACATGGGTAAAATAACTTTTAACTTGTGACTATTTGACTGTCAGTATTCTTGTACTGCCAGGAGAAACAGAGTCTTTCCAGCATAGCATGACCTGTAATCTGCTGAGGTGCACCAAAAAACACCAAAACACAGCATGAACAGACTGCATGCAGCTCAGTACTAAACTGTGTGATCCACTGTTCTCACCAAACAGCAAAGCCTTTCTCTACAGACAGCAATGCAGTTGAATTAAACTGTATCACTGCCTGCTGCAAGACTAAAATATAATCCCAATTATTGAAAGCTAAACTTTGTACATTATACAAACATGGGCATTAATATGTAAAACATATTAATTTAAGCAAAATATTAATGCACAAAAATCTCCTGAAATAAGGGGTTGACTTACTAAAGGCAAATAGGCTGTTCACTTAGCAAGAGAAATGTCAGTTTGCAGTGGAATTTTCCCTTAGCTAAATTAGTGTGGAAAAAATCACTCTGCAAAGAATATCCAATCCCTTGCAAGGAAAATTAGAAAACAGTATTTTTGCTTGCACATTGGATGATGGAAGTCGGTAGAGCTTTTCCTCATTCAGGAAGCTAAGGGAACATTCCCTTGCAAAATGAACAGCCTATTTGCCTTGAGTAAGCAAACTGTAGAGTGTTTCTATTTTGTCTACATATCCCTTTATAGGGAAAAGGGCATAAATATTTTTGAGAGAATGTAGATATGGGTAAAAGAGTTTGGCTCATATCATAAAAAGATTACAATAGTTATAGTCATTCCAGCTGGAATTTGGTATTAGAAAAGAGGTGACTAAATGTGTACATGTAATACTTCTTTTAGACTCTCTTGTAGTCTGCTCTGTTTGTGGATCTAAATAGCTCCCAATTGTCCCTGATTGCTCCCAAATATCCCTCTGTTGGAACAAAGTCCATTAAAGTCCCTCTGTCCCTCATTCCTACTCAGTTGTCCCTCTTTTTGGTAAGATTATTGGCAACATCAAAGATGTTGTTAGCAGCCATGTGCACAGGGTGAAAATTGATCTTTCGAGTAGGTTTAAACTGATTTTTTCTCTTTACAAATGTGTAAATTTAATGTTGTCATGTTTCCGATTACACTATAGAAACAATCTGTGGAGTAACAAAGTTAAAACCATGCAGAGAAAACAAACAGACAATTCTGGTCAAGGATATAAGGCATGGATCCATATATTTTATAAGTGATTAAGAAAACCTACTGGAAGCATGATCAACCCAAGGCCGCCACCACTGCTTTTTTTTGCCCTTGACTTTCTTTTTGTCTGCTTCTCCTAAAATGAAATATGTTTATACATTAATTGGAAATAATACATTATTTGTATTACACATCAAAGTACATTTCAGATACAGACAATTCAGCCACATTTATTCGATTGATAGGGTAAATTGCTTAATATCTAAGGTGGAAAGCGCTGGTGAATTGGGGTAATCCTGTTAAGTCCCAAGAGAGTCCCGTCAAATCCCATGTTCTATACTATTGGATCTATAGGTGAAACCAGCAGGTTGAAACCAAGTTCAGGAAAAACATTAAGTGAGCAATTGATCAAGTAACGGACCCTCAGTCTTATCATTTTGGAAGGTAGTGCATGAAAGATAAGTGTAAGCTTTCAAAAATCTACACCATGTGGATTGCTATAGACAGGTCGGTGTTTTGTGTGTGCTGTGTTCTGTTAGCAATCTACAAATATTCTCAGTTGTGCATTGACTGGGAATAACCCTACTTGGCCTGCAAGAATAAAGATGCGTTTTCAAAGTCGGACTTCTGTAATGTATAAAATACGTCATTTTTGTGAAGATATAATACAAGTATATAGCCTATCTGGGATTTATCTCCATTTTAAGTGCTCAAAACACAAAGCACTTGAAGGCAGCAGTTTTCACAATGACAATAGGTGGCTGTGACACTTAAAGAGGAGAACAAAGTATTTTGTGGCTAGCTATGCTTACAGCAGCAATTTTATAAGACTTTATCGGTGATCACTACACTTTTAGTTTACCATAATCACCTTCATCATCGTCGTCTTCCTGCTTATGGATTACTTGACCTTCTCCTGATTCCTGAGCCAGACTCAGCATTCTTTCTTTACCTTTTTTATATTTTTCTTGCCTGGCTTTAATACGGTCCATCCTGGTAAAACGGATAGCTATTATGCACAATCCCACACCCAAAACAGACAGTGACAATTACACAAAGAAATATGACATTAATTTGCCCAGAATGTATATGAGCATTATGGTTTATAAAAGTGTATAAGGAATGTTTATCAAAATGAATCTAAACTCTGGGGAACGTTTGTGATCAGAACAATTATCTTATTTTCAGACTTGCGCTAGTTGAGCTGGAATCGTATCGGTCTCTAAGGGCAACACCATTGTTATAGGTCTATCATCTCCCAGTGTTTTTTAAAAGGCCAGATACATTCCACATACTGCCTCTTTAGCTGGTCCATAGATTTTTTTTCCTCTTCAAGTCTTGCCTTTACAGCTTTGACGATTGTTGCCTGAAAGAGTTCTGCACCTCTGGAAAAAAAGATTGAATATGTAAATTTTTCCAAATTAATACTTTACAGCACACATAGAAATGAGTATGTTAGTACATTTTTATAAATACATATATTTGTGTATTGTATGGTTAATTGGGTATTTGCAAAACTGTACATTTCAGCAAGGGAAGCAAAGATACAACTTTTCTGAACGCTTCATACAGTGAGTAATTTGGATGCTTTCTTTTCAACGTTCATGAGTATGAGTCCTTACAATAAACATTGCTTTTCTATATACATACCTTGATGCAAGTATTTGAGAAGATTTGATGTCTGCCACAACATGTAGGAAGTAATAACTCATAAACACTCTTCTTTGCAATAGCAGAAAAGCAAAACAGATACTGTCCCAGATTATACCGGCTTCACCACTTGGCAACTGACAATTTTTTTGGTCCGTAGCTAACAAAAAAATAAACAAAAACATATATGCAGCACTGTCCCATTATTTCGCATAAAAAAGTGATTCATGCATAGGGCTGAAAAAATGTGCCTGATTGTTGAATGGTAGAAATAATAACTGTCACTAAGAAAGTGTCACCTTTAAACATGACAGAACACATAATTGTCATTGTGTGGGAGCATGGTACTATAAGAACATGTCATTATGTCAGGAAATGGTATTATGAGAATATGCCACTATGGGAGAACTAGAAATGAGTCTGATTTACTAAAGGATTTGAGAATGTTCACACATTGTATTGTGTGAATATTTCTTTCTATTATCCATTGATGTGCATGTGAAATAAGTAAATAGGGATTTCCATGCACATGTTGGGATATTTGAAGTGAATCTTCATACATTTTATTATGTGAACATTTTCAAATCCTTTAGATGGGTGCACTTCATTTGTTTTGGAGTGGAAGAAAGAATTTAGGGGTCTTAGCCTGGGGTCTGTTATGATAATAGTTGATCAAGCTATCTGTTTGCAACCACATTGCTTTGATTATAAAATGAAAATATAGTAGATCTCTACTCTTTACTAAAAAACCAAGAAGCAGTTAAAGGTGCACACATACTAGCAAAACCCCATTTACTGGCATGTGTTGCAGATTACACACTACACCAAAATGTGATTTATTTTTGTTCATAATCTTTCATATTTTATTTTATAATCCCTCCAATTGCCCTATCCCTCCTCCTCACCCCATATTTTTTGGGTCAGCTGCACAAGGCCTTGCCTTGCGGTAAGCAAGGATATCTTTCAGTTTTGATTTGGATAAGCAGTACAGTGAGCATTTTTTTTAATGTACTATTATTTCATGATTAGTTCTGAACATGAACAAAACATAGAATTTGAGCTATATGTCTGTTCAACCATAATTTACCAGTTTTACATTAAGTGCACCTACACTAATTATATGTTGTATTTTTAGAGGACAAATAGGGCTTTCTTTTGACATCAAATATTTATAAATTAACTGTAATTATATCTGAATAAAACCTAACAAATTATGAGAAATTAAGAACTTGTAATTTTTTCCAAACATGCACACACACATTTTATTGGGAATATCATACTGCAATAAAAGTCAAATAATTTTATTCTACAATGTTAGCTCTGAAGGGGTCAATTTTTAAAAAATAAAAGAATTAAAAATGGGTAAAACTAACAAAGGGTAAAATTATAATAATAAAAAAAAAGCAAAAACTGATCAGCACTAAAGGGATTAATTTTTAAAAAATAACTATTATAAATGGGTACAATTAACAAACAAAGACTCCACAATAATTTTGAACAGTACTATTGTACTGATCAGATTGATCACCGTTATAAAACGGTGATCAGAAAGGAAGGGGTTACTTTTTTTTTTATAAAGGGGGTTATTTTATTATTACTTTTGGGACACTTGGACTATTTGGACACTTCGTAGCACTGATCTACTTCTCTCTCCTCAGATCGCACTGAGGAGACAGAAGCAGAGGCAGTGCTGACAGCCAATGATTTAAATTATTGACTGTTACATTGTATCACTGATCGCAGTGACTGCTTGTCACTGCGATCATGTGACCTGAATTGCAGATTGTCTGAGATGCCAGGCATGTCCCCACGTCGGATCCTGGCAGGTAAGTATAATGGGGGACGACAGGGTGATGACAGAAGGGCTTAAAAGTTAGGACGTTTCATTGTGTCCTTACGTATTTAAAGCACGTTTTCCAGGATGACATGGAACGTTCTAATGTCCAGAAGAGGTTAAAATTCCTACCTAGTTTATCCCCTATGGACAGTTAATGAGGGGACTGTGGGAAGTTGTGGTTACTATAATTAACTCTGTCTCTACTGTGTCTCTACTGTGTTGGCAGATTTCATTATCAGTTGTGAACTAGACTTGAACACTATCTGTCCTAACAAGGGTTAAAGACTTGTATGTTAATGAAGAAGCTCAGTCTGTCCCTCAGTTTGAGCATCTAGTTAACTTTTAAACTGCTCAGAGTAGCCTGGAATCTGCACAAAGACCTTCACCAAAGAAGCAATCTAAAAGGTAAGAAATATATTCAAAAAATATTTTTAGATATGCTGTGTCCATAGGAACACAAAAACATATAGAGGGGCTTTCTAACGTTTGACTGTAAAAGTGAAGCCTGAAAATCTAACACACCTTCTCAACCAGGAAAGCACTTTTACTTAGAAAATTATTCTGTAATAAGCATCTTTACCATTTTTAAAAGCAATTCCAAAATAAAGTAAAGTAAATGTAGTTATGATAACATTACAAAAGTAAAACTAAAATACTGGAGTCTAACCTCAAATACTGCAGCTTTTAAAGTCCTTAACTGCTACCTGGCACTTCAAATGAAGTTAAATAATGCACAACACATGGCCTTAATTATTATAACTTTCTACACAGTTTTTGTATGTAAATTTTTATGCACTAAATGGACATTTAATATATTTACATAAAATTCATTGAACTCAATTACTTACGGATGTTATAACCTTTCACAGTACATGCCAGACTGAATGCCTGAATTAGCCAGCAACTGTTTTCAATCAGGGAGTCTATATAACCACAGGCTCCTATCTGGAATACATAATACATTTTAAAATGGAGGCTGTAAAAACAAGTGCATAATTTTATCTGATGTACTTAACTAGATTCACACTAAAGTATTTACATATTCTGGACAGCACTGTTACACACGCCCTTATTCAGCTCTGTAGCTATAGGAATTACAGGGAAATTTGCCTTTGAGTAGTGTTAATTTAGTTGACTAAAACCTTTCCTCATAGTTTTCGTCAGCTGCATGTTTTCAGTGATGAAAACTAAATGAAAACTAAATAAAAACTAAGTTAATAGGACTAAAACTATGACAAAAAATACATTGCTATTTTCTCTACTAGAGATTTAGTCAACAAAACCAAAATAAAACGAAAACAATTTAGATGACTAAAATACGACTAAAACTAAATGCCATCGTAGTTTTAGTCGTATTTTAGTTTTAGTTGTATTGTAAATCTCCAGTAGAGAAAATTGCAATGCATTTTCGTCTAAGTTTTAGTCCTATTAACTTCGTTTTTGTTAAGAGGGTTATTCACAAAGCTGTTCAGCTATTCACTTCAGGCTTGTACAGCTGATTTCAGCCGTACATTGGCTTGCTTCTGCTGGCTTCGGGTCGGCGGAAGTGCAGATGGAGTTCCACTCAGCCGATCCAACACTTGGATCGGCTGAGCCGAATCTCCGGCAGGCTACTTGCTGCTGTTCGGCCTATTCTCATAGGGGCCGAACAGCAGTGAGTGAATAGCCGAATGCCGCCCAGCGGCATTCTGCTCAGCTATTCTGCTCGTACCTCAGTGGTACCGAGCAGAATAGAAAAACTGTAAAAAAAGTCGAAAAAAAAGTGGAAAACGATTGGGCGGAGTGAAAGCTAGAAGTGACCAGCAGTGACTAGCAGTGACAGCTAGCTCCGCCCAATTGTTTCCTATTGGCCGGGACCTTCTGTCATTACAATGAGAACTCAGCGTACCTGGCAGTTATATCACCGCTGACTCGGCTGAGTTCTCATTGTAATGACAGTTCAGCGTCCCCGTTAGATGAAATCTGGCTCCGCCCAGCTGTCAGTAGCAGGCTCTCGGCCAGATTTCACCTCGGCTCAGTCGAGCCGAAGCATATGCCTTCGGCTCGACCAAACCGCTCGACCAACTTCAAGAGCTATACAGGGTATAGTGAATAGCCCGTACAGCAGCCCTTCGGTTCTACTGAACCGAAGTCCTCCCGTAAACAAAGCTAGCCGAAGGATCAGCTGAAGCTATGGCTAGATCCTTCGGCTGCTTTGTGAATAGACCCCCTTCGTTTTTGTCGCTGATGAAAACTACGAGGAAAAGTCCCAGTCGACTAAATTAACACTACCTTCAAGTTCACAACAATTTTTTCCTATTATGTACATTAACAGCAGGTGTTTCTGAGCTGTTAGAAACTGACTAAATCAGTCTTTGCTGTGATCTTTGAGGATCTTTTACTTCACATTACAAGCAGTTGGAAAGGTCAAGAATGGCTTGTTTTAAAGCTCTTGTTAAGAATATGTAAATAACATTATGTCCATAGTCTGGGCACAGGTGCCCTTCAATTACTGAAAGCCACAATTTTCCACGGATCGGCATTGTTTCTAATGAAGTAATATTTTATTTCTTTCAGGATAACTGCTCCATTTTCTGTTGCCTCAATAGATACCTCATAGAACCTCAAAAATAATACCAATCTATAGGTAGTGTATGTTAAGGAATGAAAATGTTTGAAGCATTCGGCGTGGTCCTAGTTTGTTGTGCATGTTAAACATCCACTTGGAGGGTGATTCCATAGAGAAACACAACACAACTTAGTAGTTTCGTCTCAAGAAGTTGCACCACAGAATGCAGATGTCATCATTATAAAACATTAAGTGTAATTTTAAAAAATAGTGATCTGCTCCCTAAGCAATAAACTGTCCATATACCAAGCTAAATGGCAAATAAAAAAATCTCTGCAGGCTTAGCTGGCATATGTGCGGATGCTACATTCCATAACAAATCACATTTAGAAAGTTAGAAACTTCTGTGTAGCCTGTTGGCACACATTGTGGATGCATAGTAAATTCCATGAACATACCATTTGCTTCTTTATGCAGGTTCAATGTGCAATTGTATCCGCATATCCTTTAGTAAATTAACCCCAATGTTTGTGATAAATTGATCAAATCTATACGCTAAAACAGCCAGTGAATTGAACATTTCATTTTAACAGCACATAATGCAGGGGTATGAAAATATAGCATTTGTTATGTTTTTGTGAACTGACCCAGCAAGGTTTTTATAAGATACTCACCGATAATATATTTTTCATTGTTATAACAAAGACATTGTATGCGATTAGCCAGTCCCAGTAGCGTAGAATGCTTCGTATAGGTTTAAGGAGTAAATCTCCTCCAAACAAGAGGAAGTAGAAACATGCCACTAAATAGCCCATGCAGAATATACTGATTCGAGTTGTGCCCGTAATGAATATGATGGTGAGAACAAACCAGAAGAGATAACTGAACATGATAACTTTCGCCATATCCAAATAGGATCTGCAAAGAAGGATCAAGGCAAAAAGCAAGTTATTAACCCATGCATTATAATATATGCAAATAGTTTTACTGGATCAATGTAGTGTTAGTATTGATATGAATTGCCTGTGCTTAGCCATACTCTAGTGCACTGTTCACTATTGTGCTTCTGAACAGCTACCTCTTCCTTTTCCTATTCATTCAAATCCAGGCTTGTACAAGCTATCTGAAGTTATCTACATGCAGAAAACCCTGGACCTTTGTTTGAATAGATACTACTATCAAAATATAAAACATACTCTGGGTGCTGTGTTCATGACCTGTGTAATCTCTGTACTCACAATAGGGTACAATGTGAACTGGATAAAAATGTATAATTTCTTAAAGTGCATGTACAACCCAACAATATACAGTACATCTCTATTTTTTGGTCCAGGGAAAATACCATTAAAAGCATTTTTCTATATACGTGTGATAAATGCAAAAATACTACCAGAAACCCAGTGAAAGCCTCACTTCATGTAGTGAGCTGATTACAGAAATCCAAAGGAGTCTTATCAGTCCTGCCCAAGTTACCTCTGAACTACAGAACCCCTCCAACATGTGTATCGAGAGTAGCTGGGAGTGTTCTGTGGTCTAAATCAAGAGCCAGCAGGCTAGGGTGAAAAAGCTGCTCCTTCATAGATACAGTACAGTGAATGAGTATTGTCATCCTATAACAGGAAGTGTGTTTCTGGCAGTATCATCAGATGATTACAAATGGAATAAAGCCTGACAAAAACAATGCAGCCACCACATCTAAGGACTGGTAAACTGCAAATTAAGGTTTCTGTGATCAGTTACCCAGATAGTTACCCAGATAGTATACAAAAAAGGGTTTTTGATTGATGCTCACGAACAACTTATAATGGCTTTATTTTAGAGTTACTGTATCAGCTTGTACATCAGCCTCCCAGCATTTCTTCAATATATACCCCCTGGCGGTCCCCCAAGGGAGGTGGGGGGGTGGGAGCACCCACTACTGTTTTTGGTTTGGATCTGCAGGTCTACTGACTTATTCTTTGAGGGACACCTGTACTATGTACGTATTTGGTTTTGCATTAAGGATGCCATCTTAAAATATTTTTTGGTTTGAATGTCTTTCTTATTTTGGCACAAACTCCTTTTTAGGGAAGAACCCCTTCCTCTCCTGAGGAAGCATGAATGTGAAACACGTTGAGAGTTAGGAGCCTCATAAACTATGGGGTCTATTCACGAAGCTGCCGAAGGATCTAGCCGTAGCTTCGGCCGATCCTTCGGCCGAACCGAAGGGGTGCTGTACGAGCTATTCACTATAGCCCTACAGCTCCCGAACGTGGCCGAGCGGCTCAGTCGAGCCGAGCGCATATGCCTCGGCTCGGCTGAGCCGTGCTGAAAGCCGAATCTGGCCGAGCGGCCGGCCATTGGCCGTCCGACAGCCTGCTACTGACTGCGGGGCGGAGCCAGCCGTGATCTTACGGCTGGCTCCGGCCACTTGCAGAGAGATCAGCGTCCCTGGTTACCTGCTAACCAGGGACACTGATCTCCAAACAGCAAACTCTCCCTGGCGCTCCGGGAGTCTCACGCTCCCGGCCGCCAAGGAGAGAAACACTGCTGTTTATATTTTTTTTTATCCTGACACGGAGCGATGTCAGAATAGAAAAAAAAAAAGAATGTTTGCCCATTGGCAAAAAGATTTTTAGTAAACTAGCATTGTACCCGCCCTCTGCTGCAGTTCTCCATCAGGTCCATCAGCAGAGGTCGGGTACAATGCTAGTTTACTATTGGCTATTGCAAATTAAAATAGCCAATAGGAATCTAGCAATGCATTCCAATGGGCAAAAATCTTTCTCTTTTTTTCTATTCTGACACCGTCCCCGTGTAAGAATAAAGAAATAAAAAGAAAAAGCAGTGTTTCTCTCCTGGGCGGCCGGGAGCGGGAGGCTCCCAGAGCGCCCGGGAGAGGTTTTTTTCAGATGCACGGAGAGGTTTTTTTCAGATGTACGGCTGATTTCAGCCAATATACGGCTGAAATCAGGTGTACCAGCCTGAAGTGAATAGCCGAACTTTTGAAGAAACAATTTGATAACATTATGGACAAGTATTTGATATAGTTTATGTTCCTGGGCAGGTTACATATACACAGTGTGTTTCTGTTCTTTTATACTCAATCAGTAATATAAGATGATTTTCTGAAAAATATAGTTGCTTTTTCTAGTTCATGAGCATCAATCAAAAGTCCCTCTTTGTATACTATCCGGGTAACTGATCCCAGAAACCTTGATTATTGTCAATTAACCTGACCCACAGACTAAGCTTTGCAAGCTTTGTTACACATTAAAAAAAACGCATCAAAAACGTGTCAAAAACGCATCTAAAAGACTAGCGTGCGTGTGCAGAAACCTGACCGGATCTGCTCTGCATTTGGTGTGAACAAGGTCTTACTGGTAAACTGCAATCATGGGTTAATTTTTGGCCTGACTTTGCTGTCTTGAGATTATTTGTGAACTTTGGTAATGCATAATTAGTCAAGTATTGAATATAAAGCCACTTATTTATCGTGTTTGTACACACTTCCAGATGAACAAACTTGTGTTCAATTTATTCAGCCAGTTGAATTAAAGTAAGTTCCTGTTGTCTTTTGAGCGCCTGCATGTTTATAAATCCAGTTGACAGTCTATAAAACCTACAGTTTTTTTGTCCCTAAACATGGTTACATTAGTTTGCGGAGTTCTCACTGAACTTTAAAAAAAAATTGCCTTTTTGGGCCTTTGCCTTTGCTCCCCCATCACCGTCTTTACTACCATCCACTAAAACTGTGTAATATTGTGCACTACTCTATTCTGATTGTAAGTATATCTTACTAAAGCAAATATACCACTGAGTGACAATTAGCTGCCAGGTAAAACTCCAACATGGAGTCTTATAATTCCAAATAATTAAGTGAATGTGTCACACAGAGAACTAACTTCCACTGCCAATAAGCCAGCAGGTTGTAAATCATATTACCTGCAATGGAGGAAATCAGGGACAGGATTATGTTGGCTAAAGGATGCAGCATCAAGGTTCATACAGATTTCCACATTGTCCCCGGCCATAATTCGAACTGCTGCCTTATTTTCATCTTCAAACACTTGCCGCTGAAGAGCTGCACAAATCAACAGCATGAAATCATCTAGAAAAGAAGAGAAAAGATTGTAATAATGATGGTGTTTATGAAAATTGCTGTTGTTATAAAAAACCGTGAAGGAGCGAGCATGCAAGCAGCCATTGCTTACCTCTTCATTTAAAAATGCTATTCTCATCCCCTATATATGTGGATCCCAGCGCTTCAGTACTTTTGGCACTGACCAAGGACAAATGTGCAAGTCAAATCTGATTTTACATTCTGCATATGCATTTCAATGACTCAAATTATTGAAGCCAGATGGGCATTGATGAGGTTCAGATTTGGGTCTACCATGAATTTGAGGTGTCTCCGATCTGTTCGTGGTTCGCAGACCCCCGTATATAATTCAATAATTCCCCACAGTTACCATAATGCACTGCCTGGCCTTTGAACTTAGGAGACTTCTGGATAAAGTTTCTTACTATAAAAGGTTGGGTTCCAAGTACGCATATTCACAATGTGCTTCAGCTGTGACAAGGAAAGCTTAAGAAGTGCTGTAGATAATGTACACAGGGAGAGATTGGTGTTGGGCTTGTAAGCACTGACTAGTCTCTAAAAGCCCATTTCCATCTTTGCGGAGGTATGTTTAAAAAAACATTTGCAAGCGATATACACTGAGTAAACATGAAGCAGGCATATGCAGTTGCTGTGTATGAACACAGAAACTTACTTTTTTTGCTTTCCTTTTTATCTTCTCATGGAATGGCTGCCTCTGTGCTTTGCAAGCAATGTGCATATATTACAACTGAGTTCTCTCTCTTCCCCCCATTCATTAGTATTCATAGTGGCAACCCCCCTCCCCCAGATAGTGTATTGTGTGTAAATGCAGAGTTGGTGTTTAGTTATTGTGTTACACAGAATCACAGGGAGGGGGGCAGCTGATTACAGCCTGCTTTACAATCTCCCCCCGTGTCACATTCCTTTTCCTGTGGAGAAATGTTTGCATTTCTAGGATTCAGACCTAATAAAAAAAATTAAGAAAGCCTGCTTTGTTTATATATTCACAATTTTGTCTTTGAAGCTTCACATTTATCCTGGTCATGGTATATCTAGTAGTAGCCACATTCAACTGGATCTGTTCTGTAATGTTGAGGACATTTTCCTACTCATTCAAGTAGCTTCCTCAGTTCCTATGTCCCTGGCACCATTAGAACTCAGCCAACTATGTGAATGAGTAGAGAAATGTCTTCAACATTACAGAACATGTCCAGTTGAATGTGACTAACTACTACCAATTATTTACAAAATCTGGCTAGGTGCAACAGAGCATGTATTAAATATTATTATTATTATTATAATAATCATTATTATGTGCAGCTTGGTTGGATGTACGTTATAGGCTCCCTTACACATCTTTTAATGGGCTTACTAAAATGATCTTTTGTGCATTGATAAATGACTCCCCCTTGTATCCTAAATATCATGATTGCCATTTTGATAAACCTTTAAAATTATATTTAACAATGTTGGATCAAGAATGTTTTCCAAGTCATTCAGTTAGCAGCAAGCACAAAATACAAAGATATTTGCTATCCATGTTATTCAAAGGCCAGAGGGCAAGAATACTGACTCATAAGTGCCAGGCATTTCTTTTTTTTGTCTCTCTGAGCCACATTGCTCTAGGCGTAGTAATCAAGTACATGGTGTTTCTTGTCTTGTTTCTCTGTCATGTTATCTTGTTTCACTGGATGAAAACAAGGAGGCTATTTTTTCCAAGAAGCAGCAGAGATCACATAATTACACATGGCCTATCTATTGTGCCCTCATATGACATTACTTGAATGCTCACAAGATATCATCACATTAGGTCAATATGAGGCCTCACTTTGATTTTCAGAGCCTCACTTTGATTTTCAGAAGAGTCCTTGTTATGAAATATAGCGAGTATTATGTGATTTTTGTCAGCATATGACAACATTTGGTCTGAATGTTGAGCGAGCAGTCATAGGAAATTATATTACATTTATTCAGAGAATTTAAAACTAGTATATAACTATGCTGTATTAAAGCACAACTTTATCATTAAGGTTCAACTTAATGTGACTTAGTCACTTTCTTATGTCACAGAATCTTTGCTTTTAAATTGCAGTACTGTGTACTTTAGTGACATGGGGGTTAAAAAAAGGAACCACAGCTCACAGCAGGTGATCAGGCATCTGACACTTTCAGAAGTGATGGATGCAGAATATGTCTCATCAAGTACAGGCCATGCAGTCAGTGGAGATCAGCACCATGGGCAGCACAAAAGATAAGAACTGACCTTTTTCATTGCATCTGTACCCCCCTGGGCGGAGTGTGACTCTGTCATATTGTGGGATAGCCAATGGAAGATACTGTAATGTATGTACAGTACAGCAGCCAATCACTGGGCTTCTCTCAGCCAGTGGTGCATGCTGGGATAGGGTACATATATTGGTGGGATCTGCCATGTGCTCAGACTAGCTGGGACCAGCCATGGATTAGGGCTGGGTCCTGTTCAGCCTGCCCCCCAGGCTAGGCCGAGGCCTAGGGGTGGGCATGGGCTATTGTGAGGGAAATGTTTTCCCTGAGGCCTACAACATGGAGGAGGCCTGAGATGCTGAAAGAGGAAGAGAACCGGGACCAGTGCAGGCTCTTGAAGTACCCTGGAACTAAGTGGACTTCAGAGCATGGTCGGTGTCTTTCCTGATTGAGGATCTGCTTCAATCCTATCTGTCTGTTACATCAGAGGCTGTCTGCTGTTTCCCAGGTGGATCCACACTGATACATCTACAAAGTCTGGTGACCCCTGGATACATGGATACATAGAACCCCTACACCCTCTCTGTAAAGTAAATCGTTTACTTAGCATTTTACTACTGGAGTGGACATCAGTTTATGGGCATCAGAAGAAGGGCGGTTAGGGCTATTGGGTGGGCAGCTGAAGATCATACCCTAGACAGAAATGAACCGGGCAACCAGCGGCTCCTACGGGGGATGCAGTCTGTAAGGTATTAGCACACTCGTTTTTGTAGTTCCGAGCTCCTCTCTAACATAGTTTGATACTTGTTGATCCTGCCAGTAGATCCATTATTTTATCTCTTTCTTTAACAGGCCAAGCTGTCCAGCCAAAGTGGCAACTGGAATTTTTCGGAGGTTAAACAGCGAGTTATGGATTTTATGATGCATGAGAAGCTAACGGCTATCTTGAATGACACTTATTCCTCTTACTGGAAAACTTGGTCTCCCTGGCTGGACTATGTTCATTCATTAGATTTGGATCAAACCCTAATCCATCTATAATGACATGTTGTTTGTTGGGTGTTCTCTGCTTCCCGCCGACCTCCACACAGCCTTTCTTCTCTCTGTCTGTCTTTATTCCTTTCTTATTCTTCCTTTTATTCCTCTTACTCGTAGATTTTCATAGTAATTATTGTCCACACCCTGGATTATATGTGCTAAGTTTGGCCAATGGTTGCTGACATGCCCTCCCTGCTCTTGTGACTGCTGTGGGCTATTGGTAGAGGTATCTAAATAGTCGTGATTACCCTGGCCTTATGTTTTTTCTGTTTGCTCATTCCATTTTGAATATTTCCAGGATGTATCTTTTTGTCCCTAATCCCTGTTTTCGCCCTTACTGGACTCTGTATTTATCACATTTTTATGATTGTACTGTTCTGTACTTATGCCTTTTTCAATAAAAGTTTTTTTTAAAACAAAGTGGCAATTGGAATGGCTGGGACAAACCATATATCACTGCTGGAGGTGCTTACAAAAGTCAGCTTTTCTTCATTATAACCTTTTTTCCACATGAAAAAAACTGCTACTATAACTGTTTATAAAGTGCAAGCTGAACTTGAGTCTTTAAAATGTGTTTTCCGCCTTTGCAGGGTTATACATAAGACACTATATGCAGGCTCTGATTCTTAGAATAGATGGCAATGGGCAACTAAGGGACAACGTGAGGGTTTTATTTAAAGGGCATTAACATACAATGTGCCACCCAATTCATGAGAGGCAGGATAAGCAGGTAATACACCTATGCTAACTAAGTTAATGATAATGTCAGGCTGTAGCATATATGTATGTTTTTTTGTTTGCCCATAGTTTCACTTTAAGTGAGAAAATACACAGATTTATGTCTGAGCATGAATTTTCACCAATTTCAAGCAACTATACTTACAGACAAGAAATAGAGGGTTAGGTCTCACAATAAAGTCTGGAAAGTAGAGCCATTTTATAATGTTGGAGTTAAATTTGGCTCCGTGGTGTCTCCAAGGATAGTCTGCAAAAATTGAGAAAGCAGTATTAAGAAATGCATACATTTGGACAAAGCTGGCAAACAAAAAATCATAAGCACTATAATTTTTATTTCTTCTAGAGATGAAAGATGATATTTTACCTTTACATGGAGCAGGAGGAATGCCAATACAAAAGAAATACTGAAATGTAATAACACAGGCAAGAAAACAGCAATATCGGTGCCAGATTTCAGCAATTGCTTTTCTCCTTCGTTTATACAGTATAGCAAATAGCCAAAATGCATGGATCATGGCAAAGAAATCCATCCTTTGGCCAATTACATTAACAGACAGTAGGAAGCAGGTCTGTATAGGGAAAAGAAAAAATACAGAGTCTGAAGCAGTAAAGATTACAATTTAGTGCATTATTACAGTCACTTGATTTTTTGGCGCCATATGTTTTTATGCTGTGCTAGTTAAACTAAAGCCTTACTTTGACACTCTTCCCAGACTGGATTCATTACTTTTTCTTTTACACAGATTATTAAATTTTTAACAAAACAGTTCACTCCACCAGAAATATTCAGACAATGGGGTTGGTTTACTAAAGCAGTATAGGTTGATACCTTAGCAAAGTGTATGTTTACTTTGTAAAGGCGCTTTTAGTAAATAAGGTAAACCTGTGTTTATTTGGAATACAAAGTAATCTGCGAAGAACATTTTAAAATCAGACTTTTTCTAGCATATAAATAGTGCAAATGAACAGTCTCTAACCCTTTAGTAAATACATCCCAGTGCAATAATGTAAAAAAATACTGAGCTATGCTTGCGTTACCCACAGTATACAGTCATATCCCATGTGTCAATACTGTAATACAGGGTAAAAAGTAGCACATTTATTAAGTAGTTGCTACAATTTACACTTTTTTATAATTTTTTTCTTTTTTGTATTCAGATAAATGGCCCTGTTTTGTATAACTGACGTACACATACCCGTAACCAGTATAAATAACAATATCCTAACTACATAAAGTACACCTAAAACTAAACAAAAACACAACCTAGGGAAATGTTCATTTAAATGCCAGTGAATACCTGAATTGAAATGACTATCAAGGATATAGAGGTAGATTAAGCAAAATGAGAACATAAATAGGTTTTGGATGTGTCGGCAGAACTTATTGACATCAATTGATCTGTAGCACATATTAATGGCATTTGGTTGATGAAGATGTCTAAGGAACCTAGACTGTCCTAAGTTATGGTCTGAAAACACCCACAATTACTAATGTTATCTAACTCCACCAGATGGCCATACACCTGAGACCTGCAAATGGCTTGCACAATCAGCTCTTTTATTGTGCTGATGGAATACTTTTCTCGGGTCTATTCTGATAAAGTGGGCTGGTTTACTGACTTCTTGTGACCCAGGACAACAGCATAAAAAAAATCATGGCCTAATCTTACACCCAAGCTTGACCTTTATTTAACAAGTAACATTGAAAGATATTGACACGATGGAAATCATTCAATTTTTCATAAACTCATGATTACAAGCTTCCCTTAGCTCACACAACACAACATACATTGCATAAAAATCCACTCTCCATAACAACAACCTTAACCCACCGCACATTCTTGCTGCTCATTTTTTTTAAAAACAGTATTTTTTTAATGTCTGTATTGACTTGTTTGGAATTTCTAGGAAGCACAATAGATGGTGAAAAAAACCTTCACAACCATACCTGAAAATGTTTATTTTTGCCTTGTTTTCTGTTTTTAATGTTTTAAAATTAAAAAATACAGTTGATACTGAGTTGGTACTAAGAATCGAATGAGTACTGAACAAAATATACTCCTACAATGACACTAAATGCCAGAGTTACTTACCTCCTACTATGTACTGCCAGTGCGTCCTCTTTTTCACACGGTCACGGGCACTTCTGGGTTTTAACTGGAGTTTCCGCAGTGAGTTGGATCCTTAATTTAAACTCAAGTGGACAATACTGTCCTAGCACCTGCAGCCACCCTTGCACTTCTGCTGTCTTTTTCTACATTTACAGTACCTGCTCCACACACAGCCTTCATTGCAAATCTGCTACATTTAAGACTCTGCTGCATCTCGGCTATACCCGCAGCCTCCACTGCACACCTGGTGCATGCAAAGTCTTTGCTGCACCTCCACTGCCCCCCTCAACCTAAAATGCACCTCAGCTGCATCCAGGGCTGCAACCATCTAATTGATTAATCAATAATAATCGATTATGAGAATAGTTGTCAACTATTCTCATTATCGATTAGTTGGTTGGATTCCCCAGCTCTCTCTTCCATGCTGGGAGAATGGCACAGCAAGCAGTGAGTGGGTGAAATAGCCAGCCTGCTATTGCAATTTGAAATGGCCAATAGTAGGCTGGATATTGCACCAGCCCACTACCTATTGTATTTACATTCAGCTGCCGTCTGTGGAATCTTGCCACTGGCAGCTGTTATTCCCGGGCTGAAGCTATTCAAGCGCCATGTGCTTACAATACAATTATTTTTTTTAAAGTCATTTTTGATTTCGGCCTGACAAATTCTGCTGCGGGAGGTACATTGCAGTGACATTGATTTCAATGGCAGCAAAATGCGCCTCCCATCCACAGTGTGATCGCCCACACTGAAATGCACGCTACCGCAATGCTGTACATACCAGTGCAGTGCGATTGCAAAAAATTGTGCATGCAGTTTTATTCTGAAGTAAACTTTATGTGTGTAACACTGCATTTGTGTATTTTATTTAAAATTAAGGATGGTATTTATTAAATTTTTTATCCGATTCATCGAAAAAATTATCGGCCAACTAATCGATTATGAATATAATCATTAGTTGTAGCCCTAGTCGCATCCACAGTATTCACTGCACCTCCCCTTGCCCCTGTTACCCCTAGTTGCCCCAGCAGTCTCCCACAGCCTCAATCTCCATTGCACCCAAAGTCTCCTTTGCACTTCAGTTGCATTCACAGTCTCCACTGCACCATCTCTGCACCTGCAGTCTTTACTACAGTCTAGTTCTGAGATTTACGCAGCCCCATCACACAGCACAGCCTTGCCTGGCAGGGCAGAAGACCAGATTTTTCTCTGCTTTACCTAAATCCCAGCTCTGACCACATTAACAAAAACAAATTTGTTCTTTCCTCCTATTAACATATTCCATTTTAGCACATCAGCACTGCAGCACACCTGATTGGCTCCTTGTTCTGCTTCTCCCTCTCCCAATTGGGGGTCTGCTGTATAGAGGCTGTCATAAGAGGCTGATGACTAGTCAATTTCCAATACTTACAATGATTGCATTTTAAAAATAAATGTAATGAAGTATTATTCTGCATTTATTTGTAGTATTATATCTGCTTTAAGTTTAGCTTTAATTACAGTGACCAAGTCCCTTTAGTAAACATGCCCTGTAAAACAAAGTGAGGAGGGGCAACTGTGTTTAGAAATGTTACCAAAAAACTTTCAAATCTTACCTCCATCCCAAATTTATAGAAAAAGTAATTTATGAAATACTTGGCACAATTGATTACTCCGTCATCCAGGTGCTGCCTTGTTATAGCATGAAAAATTGTTCTTGTGACTGGTGCTGTCAGATTATTTCGACACCTGTAATACTCTTGATGTCTGTATATAGTTACTTCAAAGGCTAATATAAACAGCATAAGTAAGTTATTCTGTAAAAATGAAAACAAAAAACACAATTTATACATTTTGTTATTTACATTCCTGCTTATTTTTTTAAGGCTCAATTTAACACTATTGAAGTAGGCTTCACCATACAGGTGGTAGTAGACTGACAATCCAGCCATCTCAAAATTATGCATACAGTAGTGTATATAAATTTTGGCCTAAAATGCGAGAATTAAATCCTTAAAGCACAACCTAAAAAAAATACATTTTACAGTGAAAACTATGTCACATATACTATGAATGTATTATGTAAATTCCGGTGTATTTCAAACGTAAATTAATAATTACCCGTAAATAGACAAGAAGTGGTGTTGACTTCTTTAATCCAACCCACACAGATGGATCAATTGGACCACTGTACAGAAGCGAGTGCCCAAGTTCTGTTTTGTTAACAATATTTGTCTGATTGGCTGAAGGCTAAAATATAAATATAAATGATTGTGCTTACTATTTTATAGCATAATAATGAACCAAAGTATACTAAATGTATTAATGTTTCATCAATATCTTGACTTTTTCACATCTTTAAACTACTTAGCTGTCAGAGAAGACCATAACATAGTTCACATATTTTCTTAACAAAAAAACATTTCATTATGTATGTTTGCTTCTAATATTACATTATTTTACTTGCAAAATCTGCATTCTGATGATGAAGCTTTAATGAAATCAATTTTATAAAGCTAGGTGTGACTGTAACGAGATGTGATATAACTCACCTCTGTGCAATTGCTAGAGAAGGTCCGTGGTTCAATAGTTGAAAGTTGATACAACATTTTGCATACAATGATGACACACGTCCAAACAGTACAAACACTGGATGCCAATGGCCGGAATTGGGAATAGGGCAAGGCAAAGGCCCAGGCAGTTAAAAATACATAATTGAGAAGGGAAACCTGAATTTAAAAAAATGTAGATTGAGAAATGAATTCAGTTTATGTTTACATATGATTTGTTCTAAGTGACACAACTGTTTAATATTTGATTGAACTTAAATTTCAGTACACTGTTAAAACTGTCTTATTACAGGAACTCAGGAGGCTTACAATGACACTTACTAAAGTAGGGCTAGTCATTGATGATCCTGCTAGCCATTTAAGATGGCTTTTACTACGTTGCACAACATGTGCATGGCAATGGCAAACTGCAATGAACAGATTATAAGACAGATTTATTATAATATTGCAGCTTGATTAATAATGTTTGCTCCTTCCATTGCTCTAAAGTAATATCCTGACAATATTAAACCTGCACCTTACCACTTCTCCATACCTATGTTAAAAGAAAATCTATCTCATCTGTGGCATATCTGTCGCAGACCTTTGTAAACCTCAGTAGGTTGCGCAGAACTGGGTTGCAGGGATCACAATTACACAAAAAGACACTTTGCTAAAAAAAAAAAGTGCCTGATTTATGTCTAATTTTGCTAATGTGGTCATTCATAGAATGGAGCAGGGCATGAGCAGTTCACTCAGTCATAGCAGGATATCTTGGCTGGGTACCAGACAGCAGCATTTTTAACTATTAGCCCATCTTCAAAAAGTGACATTGAAAGTAAAGCTTCAGAGCAATGATTAAAATTAACTTATGTTCACCTTAAATCTTCTTTACCAGAGACACACAATTAAAGCAGGTACATAAGGATGTCTATCTATATTTTCACACTCTTTGTAGAATGCCCTGGGAGCTATGTAGTCCAGGGTGTGCTACTAATTCAGACTTCAGGAACTAAAGTCATGCTTGGCCTTTGGCCCCGCTCAGGTATATCTTAATATTGGCTGCATTATGATAACAAAACTATAGCTCAAGAAGCGGTCACACAAAGTATCATCAAATATATAAAATGTTTGCATTTACTAAAAAAACAAAATGACATACCTCTCTTACAGTCACCCATATGATGTATGAAGAAACAATTTTTATTATGTGAAGTTCCAGGACCCACCACGCAAAGACTTGCATTTTATGGAAATATTCCAAAAATTTTAGGAAAAGAACTGTTAAACGGTCAATAACCAAATGCCATTTATTTCTGGAATCTGTTCGAAAAGAGAACAGATACTCACTGTGCGGCAGAACATACATGAGGTAGAAGTAGTTCAATCAACCAAACATCAATATTCTAAATCGTCAGATAATAGTCATCCAGTGTTCTAGATGCAAGTGTTGGATCACCAATCTGTCAATGTACATTATATGCCATAAATATACCTAATGCCCATCTGCAATTCAGAACTCGTGCTTGGGAACCATTTACCAAAACCGAAGGCATGCTTGTCTATTAGCACCTTTAAATTGCCCTGTTTGATCATGTATTAAGTGGACAGTTAACAGCAGATTCCACATGGACATGTACTGTAGCTCTTTAAACTTAACACTAAGGTTGCATCTCAGAGTGCGGCTGTTTTCAATTCCTTTATACAAATATTTACATGCATGCCTGGATGACTGTATGCCTGCATGCATGTAATGGAACAATCATTTAAACTATAACGGGACAAAATGTTTACATTAACTTTAAGGATTTTTTTTACAGCCAACTTTTCAAAAGCAATTCTTTGATATTAATATATAAAGAAACCATTGTAAATTCCATAGTTGATTAGCAGTATAAAATGTGGTCTATACCTGTTGTTGTTTCCTCCTCTTCTTCAGATTCTTCTGTCTCTGGCTCCTCCTCATCAGTATCTTGTCCTCTTTCTCCTCCCCCCTTATCATCTCCTTTCTCCCACTCATCCCCTGAATCCCGATCATGTTCTTTCTCTTGTGCATATATGTCAACCTGTTTCTCTTCTTTGTCTAGCATTTCAGACTCTGTAGTTAAGTTCATCATGGTTATATCAGGCAAACTTCCTTCTGGGTGTACCAATCTGTGGGTCAAACACATATATTAGATATCTGCCTTACACCCACAAAGAGAAATTAACTTATCCAATTAAATAAAGCAAGAAAAATAATTTATGTATTTCAGTATTGGTGATGGCATTCAAAGAATGTTATAGAAAAACAAGGAAAACTATGGCTATGAGGGCATGTTTTTCAATAGTGACTTTAGGTGGTATCAACACTTAAACTTGATATTTTCCCCACAGGAGAAAATAGTCAATGTTTAAGAGGTAGAAGCATGAAATGTCAGCATGTCATAAAGAACATTTCATGGCTTCATGGCACTTACTCATTTTGGTGAATTGGAATTTTTTTCTTGACGCTGCTCAAGAGTAATTAAAACAGAAAGAGAAAAGGAATATGAGAGTTGAAGAAGTAAAGTGATGGTTTTATAAAGTGTAGCTCATGCAGCATTACAGCTTTTAAAGAAGGTTCCTCATTAGAGCAATACACTGGGACATGCATTTTACATAAGTCAATATTATTGGTTCTTTGTGTCTGGTCATAAAAACAATATAAAATGCGTATAACAGTCAGGGCCGGATTTCTCACTAGACCACATAGGCCATAGCCTAGACTGTCATGGCCAAAAGAGGAGGCACTGAGATGGCCAGGCCACTTTGTATTTATTCTGGCTACTTATAGGCTTACAGAGCCTTCCAGTCAAACCTCTGCCTTCCTCTTTGTCCTACATACAAATTCAAACAAAAGCCAAACTAAAGAAAGTAGATCAAAACATGTTTCTGGTTGTGCCACTATGGTGTCGATTGTGTCCTTGTGGACATGCTTTGTGTCAGTATGGTACTGGTTGTGTCTCTGTGAACATGTTCCTGCTTGTGTCACTATGATACTCATTTTGGCTCTGTGGACATGTTTCTGGTTTTATCAGTACAGCACTGATTATGTCCCTCTGGAAATGTTGTGTTTATATGTACCTTTATTTGGATAATTCTATTGTTAACAAATGTTAAATCCATGGCATGCATGATTTCTACATGTGTATGTGGAACTGTTTCTTGTGTGTGCACAAGTTGGTGGGAGGCAATATCCAAAGCAGATAGGGAGGGGGAAGGCGGCACAAGGCAGCTGCCCTGGGGGGGAGAAAATGTGCAAATCCGGCCCTGATACACTTCATGCATGTTCGAATCTATATGCATATTGTTCATACTGAATAGCTGAACTATAATTTTCACACACGTGAAAATGTAATTAAAAATGTAATTAAGACTAAATTTCATTTTGTAATTTACATCAGTTTACAACAGTTCATTACATATCCCATGCAATAGAAGAGTGGTGTACTAGCAGAAGTTACAGTAATATTAGATTGTACAATATCCTTCTTCATTCCAGCTCAGTTTAATATTATTCAGTTATTAGCAAATTTTTGATCTCAACAGCAGTTAATAATAAAATATAAAAATATTTGTTAAATTGCATTTCTTGTCATTGAATTCATGGTTTGAACTAGGCTTGTACTAAAGACAACAATTGCATTAGCTGGCTGTATCTATTTTCAAACCATGAGATAAATCAGATTTTTTTTTATTTGAAAATATAATGGTGCCCTAGATTTAAATTTAGATAAAACTTGAGATCAATATTGTAGATCAGAGTTTCTCAACCTTTTATTAGTCATGGTACGCATTAAAGTATGCAAAATCTCAAGGCACCGCAGTCTAAAAAGTCATAGATTTTAAGGGGGACCACATGTAAAGACACACAAAAAGTGGCTTTCCTCCTTCACATTGAAGTGGCACCCTGGTTGAGAAAGGCTGTTCTAGATGATAAAACAGCTATAAATTAGTGACTCTGTGGGGTTGATTTACTAAAGGCAAGTAGGCTGACTTTGGCTTAGTAGACTGACCTTGGCTTAGTAAATGTGAAATTTCACTTTGCAAAGAATACCCAATCATGTGCAGGGGAAATAAATAAAACTGTATTTTATCTTGCAATTCATTGGATGATAAAGGTCAGCAGAGTGTCACCTCATTCACTAAGGGAAATTCATTTGCAAAGTGAAAACTCACTTTTTTTAAATAACCAGCCAAATTAATGGCTGGTTAACCCAATTAACCCACATAACCCTACAATCGGTATTGCACTGAAACTAGATCTCAAAATAAAAGAGTGAAAAGAAACATTTATTTTGGCTATTGTGTCACTATATCACTGTTAACGTTCACTTCATGAATAAAAAGTATTGTTTAAAGTGTATCTAAAGCCAAAACCTTTAAAAAAAATATTTGGATAGAGTTTTTATGCTTTTATTGCTGTCTATGGCCCCAATGAGAAGATTTCCCCTATTTGTCCTGGTGACTACTGTCATCAAGGCAAAAAGTGATGCGACGTTTATCATTTTACAGTTGTCAGTAGGGAAGGAATAGAGGGAAATTTACCAACGAACATACCTGTTCGGATGACAACTGTGAGAATTTCCCACACTTTGGAGAAATTTTCTCACTTTATAAAGTGACAGGAAATCTCCCCATTGGGACACAAACATAAACATCTGACTGGGTTTTAACCATTCTCTACTCTATCCAAAACTAAAAATGACCTGTTATACATGCAAAAAAATTGTAGAAAAAATTTAATATATTATTTACTTTTATTTTACCTCATATAAAAACTTTAACAGACACAGACGCTGCAAAGAATAATCTAAAGCTGTATTTCAGCTATATTGCATCTATATCTGTACTTCACGTTAAAAACATATTTGTTTCCAAAAAGGCACTTAACAAATAACAACTTTGTAATATCATGATACATGGTATTCAATTTTCTATTTGGTACATTTTTGGAGACAGATATGTGTTTATGCAGCGTACAAATAAAAATGTGATAGACAGGGTATACAATTTTTAAGAATATCCTTTCTACAGTCTGTGGCTGTTAAAATCCATATATGAGGAAAATATTTCATGTTAAATTACATGTGGACCCAAACAGTGATATTTTAGTCCACTAGAATATGCAAAATAAAATATTTATTTACTAAACTGTAGCATCAACAATGTGTGTTCTAGGCATGATACGTCATTTCTGATGTATACATATATAAAATAAATTAAAATCTGTGTTGCTGTAACTTACATTCAATTGTTTCCAAGCACATGCACAAACAAGATGTTGAATAAGCTTAAACTAATTATAATTTACAGGAATTATTCACATGGGTTTTTTTTCCCGACCATGACTCAATGGTCAATAAATAAACATCTGTATACCCACCTATTTATTATTAGGTAAACACGGCCATTAACTTTGGCATGGCTACGAGTTGAGAGATGGAGGCACAAGAATGCATGCAATGAAAACATGAGTTAGGAGAGAGAAGGAAAGATGTTAAATAAGATGAAATTGAATATGGCAAGATTTATGTCTCAGAGGTAGTAGGCAAATTGATAGCGATAAAGCAATGATAGCATAGAAAGTGAACAATGTACACGAACATAACACATAAACAGTTATTTATTCACTGTCCCTGAATATTTCTCTTAAGGTGGTTCTCCAGGCTAGGGTTGGAATAGTTAGGACCTCTGTCAGGTTTTTATTCACCCTCTCTATTAATCTTGATGAGTATTTTCTCCAGTACAGATAATTGATACGAAATCTAAAAATTTAGAGTTGTCATCCAAGCAGGATTGAAATCGTCCAATGGGTGAATCTGTTCAGGTGGCAATTGTCTAAGAGGGAATATCCCTTTGCTTTAGAGAGTGCTCCTCTTACTTCCTTTTGTGTTTCAAGCACAGGAAGGGAAATTTCCCTAATAGGACACATGGCAAAATTGAAAACCTGATAGAAGTCAGAAAAAATGTTTTGCTCTTACATCCAGTTTAACTTAATATTAGTGTGTCCTAGTGTCAACTCTCTATTACTATATTATTTACTTGCTAATAATGAAAGGGGGATCACCTGGAAATTCAGTTGGGAGATCTTGCATGTAGAATTCACAAGGTGAAACAAAGAAATCAAAAGACTTCATTTATCACTTTAACATATCTTCAAGATAACAACATAGGCACCTTTAGAAATGTTTAGTGATGACAATCTAACCACTTTAAATATGCCTTGAGCATATGGTATAGCTTTGGTATGGATACAAAGCTCACGAAACAAGAAAGCCGAACCGAAGGGCTGCTGTACAGTCTATTCACAATAGACCTTACAGCAGCCAAAGGCAGCCGAGCAGCTCAGATGAGCCGAACCCATATGCTTCGGCTCGGCTGAGCCGTAGTTATAGGTGAACGTGGAGAAAGGAAGGCCGAAGCTGACCGATCTTCACACAAATGACAGCTGGGCGCAGCCAGCCGTGATCCCACGGCTGGCTCCGCCCAGTTGTAATGACAGATCAGACCGAAGGCAGCCGATGTACAGCTGATTTTAGCCGATGTACCGCTGAAATCAGCCATACAAGGCTGAAGTGAATAGCCGAACAGCGTTCGGCTCACTTCACTTCGGCTCAGGTATTCACCTGGCTGCTTTCGGCAGCTAAGTGAATAACCCCCTAAATGTAATCACTGCCATTAGGAATCTTGATGCCAAGATATAATGAATAACCATCAGCTGATATACATGCTGAAATGTCTCTGAATCAGGAGCAATCAGATCTAACACTACCATAGCTGTGAAGAAAAGAGAGTTCCAATCCCCAAAACACATTTGATATGTTTTATGTATTAAAACAATAAAGTAATCATTGTCCTTCAACCAGCTGACGTTTCCATGCCTCTGTATGTATTATATGACTAGATACTATCAAGATCAATGGAGAGAATATAAAAAAGAAAATATGTATTAAATAATGGCTAGTTAATATATGGTTAAATATTTAGGGAGTACATTTAGGATGTACTGCACTTCAGAACTGGTAATGCAAACAAAATCTAACAATATAATGGACCAATTTATAGTTTTGAAAGTTGATGTAGAATGATTATGTTGTAAAGGTATCAAGGGGCATTTATTAGTCAACAGTCCATATTAAATATGGGTATAGGTGAACCCCTTAGCTTATCTATATCTGCTCAGTTATCAAAGGGGCAGAATGGAAAATTAGATGTTTATGCATATGAACAAATGAACAAATGAACAAAAAAGAACTGAAGTTAAAGCCTAACTCCAAGTTGATACAAACGACATAGACACATGTATTTATTAATACAACATTGAACATACTTTTGTTAAATGCAAGCAGTGTAAATAGCTGATTTTGACTCGGAATCAGCCTTTCACAATCTCCGGTACAACAGAGCTTATACTGGAAGAGGAAGAAGCAGCAGAAAGAGCCAATCAGCTGTGCTTGTGTTAACAAGGAGAATGCTGATAGGAGATAATAGCTCATCACTCTGCTGCTTCTTCTTCCCCTTTCCAGACTCTGGCTTGGGGAGGGATAAGACCTGTAAGCATTCTTTAACTGTAGCAGAGAATAACTAGGTATCTTTTTCTGACAGACAGAGCTGTGCTGTGTGGCAGAGCTGTGCAAATCTCAGGACTGAATGGACAGATAAAAACCATTTTGGTGGGTAAAATGGTTCCCTGAAGTTGCCCATACATCTGCCGATTATCGTAAATAATCGCGGGTGATCCCTCGATCGTACGATAATCGGCAGGTGTATGGGCAGCGTGCGACCGCTTCTACTGTAAGGTCGCACAACATTCATCTTCCGAGCACGCTTGAAAACCTGTCGAAAATCGTACAATTTTTGGCGGGTTAGTGGAGTGCTCAGTAGACGAATGCCGCATACTGCCTGCTCAGTACTGCAGTCATCGGGAGCCCGGGGAGGGCTTGCGATGATCGCAAGTATGATCTGCCTGTCCAAGATGGGCAGATCGTACAAAATGTTAATTACCTTACAACCATCGCACAACGTTGTAAGGTGTATGGCCAGCTTTATATGTATTTGATTACATTGTATTACATTCAAGTACCTTGACTATTAACAACAATATATCTTATTTGTGAATCATTTGGCTGTAGTTCCTCAAACCATCTCTGAATTGGTGCTGACACTGTCCTTCCTTCTGGAGGGTGGCAACTTTTGTTCCCCATGGTCTCTGTGTGTTGTAAGCTCACTCCCGTGAGGTACTACTCTCTCCCGTTTAGTTTACTAATTTGTATTGAGATTGTAGCCAAGTGTCAGCACCAATTCAGAGATGATTTGAGGTCCTAAACCCGAGTGAGACACAAATAAGTGACATTTATTTTTGTTGATAGTTAGGGTACTTGAATGCATTTGTAAGATTTAACTTCTGAGTTTAGTATCACTTTAAGCTGTTTGCCCGGAGCTTAAAGGATCAGCATGACAGTCAAGTGACTACAACTTCCAGAAGGATATACATATACTGCATAAGGATTTCCACAATTTCACTTATTAAGGAATTTGTTTTATAGAAGGTTTTACTAGACTCGAGGAAACATATTAACCAGAGACAATTTATCAGCCAGTATATACTGTACATATTTTGCCATTTGATGAAAACGTTCAGTTACAAAAAGCTTATATTCTAGGACAAGGATGTATGCTGTATCTTCAATAGTAATAAGTGCGGTAAGATGGCAACGGTAATGATTGGTGTTCCCGTTTTCTTACCTGTAAATTGTGTTGTCCTGTTTGCTGGTTACAGCCTTAAGGTCTGTAAGTTGAAGGAAATGGTCGTGAAAGTAATGGAGGTGTAATATGCACACCAACAAAAAAGAGGTTGGGATAAATATACGAGTAAACAAGTCACCCAAACTGAATGTTTCCAAACCAAGATCTGCCAGCCTGAAAAACAAAATAAAAAACAAGTTAGAATATATATTATAAGTTACTATATTTAAATGAGAAATAACATTAAAGCTGAAGTTTAACCTACTAATATTTTGCTTTCCCTGGTTCCTCCTTTACATTCCTCATCACACTTCAAACTAACCACTGAACTCTTTCTTAAACAATTCATACCCACACTGCTACCTCCTCATGTATCACTTGCCCCTCCCTTTAGATTGTAAGCCCTCACGGGCAGGACCCTCCTTCCCATCTTGTCTTGAATTGTATTGTAATTATAATGTCTTCCCTATATTGTAAAGCGCTGCACAAACTGTTGGTGCTATATAAATCCTGTATTATAATTATCATAATAGTAATAATCAACATAATTTTGTATGGCATACCTAGTGTTAGACCCAGTGTCATCATGACCAGGTCGCTGTGCTTCTCTATGCAATGCCAGCAGATTATGAATGTTAGTAGGAACTACAGGGTGCTGTATGTAACTTCCTGAAAACATGAAGCCCTGGTAATCCCCAAATGTGATGCTGAAGCTCCATGACTGAAAGTGCTGTGATCCAAATAATCAAAGGGGCAGACCAGGGACAGTAAGGTTGGGGAGTAAAGTGCTAGAGGACCAGGGACAGTAAGGTTGGGGAGTAAAGTGCTAGGAGGACCAGGGACAGTAAGGTTGGGGAGTAAAGTGCTAGATTATGTTGGATGTCCTCCAGCCAGGAAATGAGGTGGGCTCTACCTGAACTGCTGCAATTTCTAATGCACACTGTGAGAAACTGACGGTGTGCAGTGGAATGAGGGTAAACAATTTCAGTACAGGGGATGATCCTGTACAACTGTGCAAGACCGGATATAAGGCTGGAGTTCAGCTTAAAAGCATCTGTGTCCCGGCAAATATTAAATAAATAAAAAAATATTCAATACATGTCTCCTACACGTGTCACATTGTTTTGTCTCTATAAAAACACTGAAAATACATAAAATACCTGTTAACCATGCCAGATCCCCAGAGCAGTCCACGCTGTGCTACACTGAAATTAAGCAGTGTCATTAGCTTTGTCCAGTTCACCTCTGTGAACTACAGAATGAAAAAAATTTAACAGATTCCTCCATCCATGCTAAACAGTGTGGATGGATGAATCTCCTGCTGGGCTTTTGTATTCTGACAGTGGCATGTGTGCCTCTGTCGGAATACCCAAACAGTGATGGCAGCCAATTGGCTGCTGTCACTATTCGCCCGAAAATGTTCCACCGGACTCCTACAATTTTCTGATCGAAGAATGCCGGATGGAAGGGTGGTGAATGGGCCCCCCACTGAGTGAATTTTGGACAGTTTACCAAGAACCGGCCGAAATTCATACAGTGTATGGCCAGCTTTAGTAATAAACAAAAAAGCATAAAAACAGTATATAAAAATGCCAGGCATAAATAGTTAATAATGTAACTATGTATTGTATTTATGATCTATATCATTATCACTAATCTAGACAAATAAAATAAATATCTTTGAAAGTTTGAAATTGGACCTTGCATAATTTCCTATGTTTGATTTGTAGTCATATATTTTCTAAATATGTATAGTAAAAAGTGCACACATATATCCAAATGCCATACATACTTCTCTTTATTTAATCCTGTCATGTTCATCCAAATTGGTGGGAAGGCTTTAAACTGGTATGTATAAATTAAGACAAGCACCAACATGGTGTAAACTACCACAGACATCCAGAAGTATTTCAAAATCCTCCTCCACCATTCATAGTGAACCTATGATGGCAAATACAAAAATCAGGATGATTTATACATTTTTGTATTAGTACAGCTACACAGAAAACAGATATAACAAGTAAATTACTACATACTAGAATGTCCATTTAAGCTGGAATTTTAGTTGGGTTCACAGGGCAAAAAACAGACATTAAAAACAATTACGGTAATAGGAAATGTGTGGCTTAAATTAAAGGGTACATATACTTATAGATATAGGATGGCTGTTATGCCCAAGGATAACAGCAGACAATACTAACCCATCATCTTTGGGGAGCAGGTATTTGGCCTGGTAAGATTTTCGTTATTTACTATATTAGACTATTAACTGGAGTTCCTGACTCATTTCCTGTTGCTTTCTTCCATATACTGCATGTTCACATATATATGCAGGTGATATAAGCAATAAAGTGTTATGGCTGGCTTAAAGGTGACATTCTCGGGTCACAGTACTCAGATTTGACAGATTAAGAGCAGACAAACTACCTCTTAATCTTACTGCATTTTATCATTTGTATATCCACAAGAACAGCAGGTGGTGATATACCTATCCATCAAGGGGTGGACCCAGCACAAGTCTTAAGCCGGCTATACATGCATTGATTTCTTTGGTTAAGCCTGTAGGCTGAATAAACAAATTCATCAGATTCCTCCATTCACACTGCTTCATCCATGCTAGACACCTTCATCTTCCCTGTTGGGCTATTATAGTGCCCGCCGCTGTCAGAATACCCCAACAGTGACTGCAGCAGATTGGTTTCAGCCAATGTTTGGTCAACAATTTTCCACCTGACTCCTTCTACCAAAGTCGATTAACAAATCAGCTTCTGCCGAGCAGGGTGGTGCTGGCAGGGCCAACCATAGTTAAAATTTCAGTTGATTCAACAGGAGTTGACCGAAATTCGAGCAGTGTGTGCACATACACATTATGCATATGTAATACTTTTGATCCATAGAAGCGGAGAAAGTGAGGAAATCTCCTTCTATGATGTTATTTTTGGAGAAAAGCCATTATAATGTAGTCATTTCATAAGAGAGGGTAACATACATGGGACACGTACCTGATACAACGCCACACAGAAAAGGAAGAGCATCATGTAGATGATTTTGTACATGACTATTTTTCCTTCAAAACTCACAAAGAAGAACATTCCTCCACAAACGTAAATCCAGTACTTAACAAACATTGCCATCACCATGTTTCCTAGCACCTTCATGATATCATTATCATCATCTTCTTCATCTTCACTTTTTTGCACTTCATCCTCTAACATAGCATGGATAGAAGAATCGATTACTACTGAAGCATCAAAAATGAAATGTTTCCTAAAATAAACACCAGTGTTTGCTTACCTTTGTCTTGGCTTCCAACTTTAATTTCTGATAAAGTCGCTTCTTTCTCCTTCAACTGTTTTTGCTCAGTAAGGTGTTGTCTCAGCAAAAGCCAAAATGTAACGTTAAAAAGTATCTAGATTAAAGAAAGGCAAAAACAGAAAAAGTTTAATTTCTCACACCAGTGCTGCAGGGGGATAAGTTCAGTTACACTCTACTGTTGTAATTTCTGAACTTCATTAAAATATATCTTTTATTTACTGTTCTGGATAATACCAAATAACACACTGCTTACTGATGTGTATTAACTCTGGTATAATGGAAAATTCTTGAATATATCTATATACACAATGTCTACAATATGATTACGGGGATGAAGTATTCCTAAGGAATTTGAATTTTCATTAGGGATGCACCGATACCAGTTTTTCAGTATCGAATACGAGTACTGATATTTATATAATAGTACAGCTGTACAAGTCAAATTTCACCTTTGATGCCAGCTCTTCTGGTTTCTTTCTTTCAAGAAGACCTGAAACTTCACCAAGTTCATCTTTCAAGTCTATGCTCCATATATACTGTAATGTTAATAATATATTGCCGTAGATGACCATAAAAGGTGAACTAATCATGGCATATTTCCTCCTATCACGAATCATCCAGAGGGCACATGACCAAATGAGTAACACAAAGGTTAACCAACTGTGATATGTGATGCTCCATGCCTAAAAGGAAATCAGATAGTTTTTAGACCTTGTAAATAAATTGCATATCAGTTAATACAGATATTTCCTAAGGGTTTCTATTTCTTGCATAGACGCTTTTTAATGATAACCAGCACTGTAAGAAATGCTTTATGAAGACAAAACATACCATTTACAAATGGCATTGACAAATAAAACACATACAAAAGTAACAGCTCAATCAAATGGTGGAAATCAGCAACATTTTTGATTGAGTTCTACAAAATAGGGAAACCTTTTGGTTATTTAAAAGTCTATGGAACTCCAGAAAGGAGACCCTATTTGGATGTGACAAAAATAGCTCAGTTTAATTGGATTTACTTTGCCATTTTACCCTGTACAAATGTCAATATATAATCCCAGCCTAGCAATTTAAAGCATTCAGAGGGTGGCTGTTGAAAATTTAAATAGTATAAAGTCACATTTGTATTTTAACAATAACCCAAGAAAATAGATCTATGACAGCTCCTTTAAATATGTACTTCAGACTGAACTGCAGGTAAACATCAAAACACAAAGATGAAGCACATATATGGAAACTTTTACCAGCCAGGGTAAAGGATTTCTAATTCTATAGAGACAGGCAGGCACTCTGTCCCACACAACACTGCCAGGTTGTTGTGTGTTACCATAGCAAAATCACAGCATGGTCAAGAACAATGGTCATAACACACCCCCAGTTTTCTGGGAAAAATATACAATATGTGAGAGTTTCTAAAAGAAGAAGCAGTTTGCTGACTTCAAGGGCACCTAAGCTGAACGTTTGATGTGACTGGTCCTGAACTAGAATGATGCCTGGGGGTTTAAGGTAATCAGCTATTACAACATTTACCCATGGCAAGAAAACTGTAAAGCTCTACACTCAACCCACAATTAAGAATTAAGTTGTTCTTTATGCAATTTACCTTAGTTTATTATGGATACATGTTATTACAGTTTGTATTATTAAAGCTTACCATCATAGAAATGAGAGCACATATATAGCTTTGCTTCATGATGAACTGTAATGCAACAACCATGACGTGAAGCTTGGTACTTTCTTTTTTTTCAGAAACTTCCAACTCTAGCTCTTCTTCTTCTTCCTCTTCTTTCTTTTCTAATGGAACACATGTTACTAATTCTTCTTCATAGTAAACATGCTACGTACTACATACATTTTCATTGCTTATAAACTTGATCAGTGAGACAAAGCATAACAACAGGTTAACAAAGGGACTCAAGCAGGCCGATACAATTCAGCACTGTAAATGCAGAAATATACCCCCTTCTTACATTTACCACCAGATCCTAAAATACTTGCTGGGCTCAAAGGATGATATTTACAGATATTTACTAAATGAGTTCAAATGTTCACTCACTTAGTGGAGCTGATGAAGCTGTCTTCACTTCGATCATCTAGTTACATGTTAGAACAAACCTATTTTTTTCCCATTCCATTGTAAATGATTTGGTATGAAATGTAATGAAAATTACTTTACATTATTCACTATAATAATAGAATTTACTATTCCTTAGTAAATGAATACTATGGTGTAAACATCAAGCATTTATACAAGCCTAAGGCAAACATAAGAGGCAGTATCTGCATACGTGCTATTAAAGTAGGATGTGTATAATTGAATTTGGTTTGTGTTACTTAGCCTGCTGCAAAAACAGTACAGGCTTATGTTAATAAAACATTTAATGAAGTCCCATTCTTTAACCTGCTGCAAAAATAGGACAGATTTATGTTAATAAAAACATTTTTATGAAGTCCTATTCTTTAACAAGAACTAGAAGCAATTCTGTTCAACAGCACTAAATATAGGATAGTCAGACTTTAGCACCTTTATCTACATCAAACATAGAGCAATTCAAGCCATTACACAATGAGCTGGAAGAAAAGCTGTTACCTGAGATTTCATCATTGTGCTCCCACTTGTATTGTGGTGTGGAGTACATGTCTATTTTAGTTGGTCCATTCTCTATAGGAAGTGATGTATTTATTGAATGGTAATCAACTGGAGTCCCATTAACTGTTACAAGCAGTACCTGTTAAGTAGCAGTTTGTAATAATTAATAATGACATCATGTAATAAAATACATTGCTATTCATTTCAAACATACCTATTTTAATCAAAATTCAAGTTAATAGTGTAGTAACAATAGCAAGTTAATAGCATAGAACTCATCCAATAAATTGACCCATGTAATGTTAACTGCATACAGCATGAGTGAAGGTAATTTTAAACACTCATATCAAAGCTGAAGTGTGGGCTATGACTTGACTGGGGCATTAACTAGGAACCGATAAGGTACTTCTGATGATGTGTGCCCCACTTGTGCCAGCTGCTACTTTCTTCTTCTGTGATTGGACAAGGGGAGATTGTGACATTTATACACCCCTTGTCCAATCACATAATAGCTTCTACTCTTTGCAAAGAATACAAGATGTTTTTTCAATAGAGGAGCTGCACACCAAATGACCCAAAGTTGTTTCTGTGTTTCAGCCCCTAATGTCAGTTTCACCACCAGAGCTTTAGCAGTGACATCACTGGCAGAGGCTGCATGTATGTAAAATTGTCAAGAAAGATGCAGCAGCAGCTACCATTGGGGTATGCTGCATATGCTTAGAGGTACCTTATTGGTACCTATCTAATACCCCATTGAAGAATTTGTTAACTTCAGCTTTAAATGCAGGTAGAGCATGGTTTCAGATAATACAGACAGATTCTGCTAGACCGCTAAAAAGAATGTAATCCCTCCTCTCTCACAATACATGCTCCATAATTCATGGTACATGCTTATAGCATCAATGAAATATGAAGGAGAGTCCATTCAGTACGTCTGGAGGTATATGTACACTGTATGTATGTTATAGTTGCCTGATATTGGAATCAATACAAAAATGAAAGAAATGGAAGAGGAGAAAAGGGAAAGAAAGGAAGGAAAGAGAAAAATGGGAAGAAGTAGGGAAGAAAAGAAGGAAGGAAGAAAAGAAGGGGAACATAGAAAGGAAGCAAAGGAAATGAAGGAAGGAGAGAGAAGGAAGGAAGGAAGTAAAATGGGAATGGTGTAAAATAACGTAGGATTTGGGGAGCAAGGAAAAATTGCAAATAAGTTTCTTCGTAGTAACACTTATCTTGTATCTAGACTCTATTGCTTTAGGTGGCTTTACTGAGTGTCACAGAGGAAATGCAGCATAGTATGATATAAAGGGGTATAATTGCACAACCTAGGACAAGGATGTCCCTATGAACTGTATACCTCTTTGTTCATAGAGTATATACATATCACTGCTGCATGTGTATACAAGCAGAGTGAAATGAAAATGTGGAATGAATCGTGTTGTATACTAACATCATTTGACTTGTATTCATCTTGGGTCATGGAAAGAAGCTGCAAAAAGCAAAGCAGAGTAGATTATTAATAGCCACACAAATACAACATTGCTGTGGATTACAAAATGCTACTAGATATTTTCTAAAAATTCACAGCAAAAAAAATAACGCCAAAAAAACCACACACTCTTTTGCATTAAAGTTAAAACAATAGCTAAAATACCCAATGCTGTTCAAGTAGACCTAGCCACAAATATCAACATAAAGTGATGGTAAGTCTTCAGGGACATAGTAATAGAAAGGATTACCTTTTCTGTAGAAAAAGTTGTTCCATTTTCCTTCAATCCAAGACGCATAAAGACTTGGTCACATGACATTTGCCAAAAGGGAGGATCAGAGTTCTGATTGGCTGATATTGCCTCATGCAGAGATCATGTGAAGGAATGCCTAGACCGATTTTATGTGTCTAGCATGGATAGGAACTTAGCATTTCAGCTACCTTTATTTATATATGACAACAAGACAATAATAATCATCATATGTTTACATTTTAGTTTATTAAGTATTTAGGGTTGTTAAGACTTAAATGTTATATACAAGCCTGTTGTTAAAGAAAACTTTCAGTTTTGTGATTTTATTAATGTCAGAGTCACAGTTGCACAAATGCACCTGTACAATACAAATTGCATTTTGTGGAATCATGTATACATTATTGTGATTCTTCTTCTTCATAAAATAATCTGTTTTTTTAATTGGTTTTGTCCATTTTAACTGTCAGGAGTCTCTTATGAACGCTTCAATGCTCCGTGACATTAGACTGAGCACGTATCTAGAGCCGGACCTTGGAAGCCTCGCAGCGGTAATACCCGTTAGGAAAAGAGTCTGTAATCCAAAATGTGAACTTTTTATCTTTTTGTAGCCTACTTCCTCTTACGTTTTCCTTACAAAATGGGTATTTTAGCTACAGCTTATTCTTTAATATATCTGCATGTAAAGGACTATACAATGAGTATCATTTATTAGAACATACAATGAGAGAATAACAGACACATACCAATTACCCAGTCAATAGCAACAACAGAGTATAGATAAAAATAAATTACAGGTCATTTGCCATCTGCAATACATTTTCTCACTATAAATATAAATCCATTTGATTAGCATAGGTACAATATATTGCCAAAAAGACATTAATCTGGAGCTTAAAACTTTTGTGGCTATAACATCCTCCACTGTTCTGGGAAGGCTTTTCGAGAGATTTTGGAGACCGTCTGAAGTATTTTTGTACCCATTCAGTTCAGGGAACATTTGTGGGGTCAGGTACGAAAAGGCTCACAAACAACATTACAATTCATGCCAATAGATCTGGATTGGGCACAGTCATGTTGGAATCGAGAAAAGGACCTTCCCTAAACTGTCACAAGGTTGGGAGTGCATAATTGTCTAAAATCTCTTTGTAAGCTGCTGGGATAACAGTACTCTTCACTGGATACATCTGAACTTATTTGAGGGGTGTCCATATATTTTTGGCCAATATAGTGTATCTGAATTCATATGAGTTGATGGATTTATGGGAGAAATCAAGCAATATGAACCTGCAAGTTCTAAAAGTTGATAAGATGCTCTGTTACTTATCGTTCCAATGAATGATTCTTACACAAACATTGACTGTGCCACAGCTACAAAACCAAACACTGAATGCATCATACTTTGGTGATGATAAATCACAAACATTTTTTCAGGAGCAATAGAAATTGAATTAAGAGAAATAGCTAATAATATTAGTTTATCTAATATTATTCTAGCAAAGCAAACTGTAAAGTGAAATGTCTACTTGTTCTTTCTATTTCAGCCAATTAGTTAAAGCAGAAAAGTAATGATCAAGTCTCTCTAGTCATGTGACTAATGAAATGTAGCACCCAATGTGAAATTAGTTTTGTCATGATGTCAGTAGCAGTGAAATACATTATACATGTTATATTAGAGAATAATCCATAACAAATATGCCTATATAGAGAAAAAATGCATGATATTAACCAAGCTTGACTAACAATTTAAAGTATATGCCTAGGTAGATATGCAAGCCCATTATTTAATGTAGTTAAGCATTCATTAAAAATGATCACACCCATATTTTAATAGTATCTCGGTCTGTCATTGTACTAGACAGCACCCTGTACATACGCATTTAGATCAGGATAAAGAAGTTCTACAGTGCACAGTACTGTGACTTTAATACCTGGAGATTAAAACAGCTTAAAACTGTGTATTTAGCTGCTTGACTTCACTGCCAGTGTTTTCTTTATGTTTAATGACAAGTTGTGCATTTATTTCCAATTGTTGTTAAATATATTGCACAGAAAAATTTAAAGCACGTGATACTAGATCTTCTTATTCTTAACCATTAGAGTAGAAAAAAAACTTTTTTTTCTTTTGGATCTTACTTTTCTTTCATCCGTGGGATAGTGGGTGGCATACCACAGACTGCGTCTTCTTTCTGCAGTTAGAGGTGCTGGGCTGTACTCTCCTTCGTTTTCCCCTTCTTCATCCTCTTTATTGTCTTCAGAGCTTATCTAGAACAAAAAAAGCCATGTTAAACAAAAGCTATGCCTACTAAGTGGAACCTTTGGTTGTGTTTGATTTTCGAGTATATTGATTTTGCAACCTTCCAAATCAATTTTGCTAGTAAGTACTATACACGCCTTTACTTGTAATGTGACTAAAAAGTATAACTCCAGACATTTTTTAGTTTGAATGGAGAGAGAAACAGTTAAAATATATGTGAGATTTACATTCTGCTTGTAACCCCACTGGTGAATGTTTTCTCAAATCTCCAATCTCACATGTACAATAAATGGGAGATGTGGTCGTCATGGGAAGGAAGGCATGGAAACCAATAAAAACATTGTCAGAAGTTCTAACCCTTCCTCAATCTAATAAACATGTATGTTCATTTTGTCTGGGTCTCCTTATTCCATAAAGAAAGTTAGGGAGAAATTCCATAATAGGGACACAGATGGAAATCGAAAACCTGACATAGGTACTACAGACACAAATACAAACACAATAAGGCCCCATGTATGTACATTTAGGTGCAATTAGGGATTCCTGCGTCAGGAACTTGCTTTTTTTCTGCATCAGGGATCCTTATTCTGGTGTTTACAAGCAGCAGCTGTCACCCATTCAAATTAATGATCAGGTAATAGCAGCTGCATGTAAACCCCTGCAAACCGCATGCTACTGGATGTGATATGATTACATGCGGTTAGAAAACCCTCTCCCTGGATGCACAATTGATGCGTCCAGGGATAGTGATTGACTCCTAACCCAATGTAATCATATTACATGCCATTATATGCGGTGTGCAGGCGTTTACATGCAGCTGCTGTCACCTGATCATTAACCTAATCATGTGGGTGGCAGCTGCCGCATTGTAAACGCCAGATTAGTGATTCCTGCTGCAGAAAAATGCATGTTCCTGACGCAGGAATCCCTAATTGCACCCAAAGATACAGGTGTGAATGGAGCCTAATACACTCCCTGCCCACACACACACAAAAATATCTCTGCATATTTTAAAATAATACCCCACCCCATACACATAAAACAATACACTCCCCCACATATAAAATTATACACTTTCCCCACGCACAAAAAAATACACCCCCACATATAAAATCATACGCTTACCCCCATACATGAAAGAAAATACACTCCGTCCACATATAAAATACTAAAAGGTGTCTTATTACATTATTACTTGAATGCTGAATTGTATGAAGCTAACTGGAGTAATTATCGGCAGCATAACAGTATGTACAGCCTCATTCTAAAAAGGTATTATGTTTGTTAACAAATTTTGATGGACAAGACACTCAAACACACAGGAAACATCAATTATATTATACAAGGGCAGAGCAGCTCATTGATCAATAGAGATCAACGGCAAAGTGAAAATGCTAACCTTCTTACAGTACAGTATTAGCCTGAAAACAAATAGGTCCATTAAGAGGTTGATACAGTCGTATTTAAGTGGTTTCTTTAATGTGTTTTCATCGGAGTAACAACATTCAATCCAATTCAAGGATCAATAAAAATAAATAATTAATAATAAATTACACTTACAGGCTCCTGCAGCCAAAGACGTATGAGAGTTGCCAGTGTGTAATACAGTACTAAAAGGACAACAGGATTTGTATAGTGGTACCAATTTCGTTGGAGAGTTGCTATGAATTTCCATGTGCTTGAACAATCAGTTTGAACTAATGAAGTGATACCAAATAACCTGTGTTAAATAAAAGTAACATACATATGCATAAGACTTAATTCTTCCAAAGGTAAGGATTATAAACATTTATACAATGTAATTCAATAATACAGTATATACGAGTAATAACATAAAACTTATTAATATCAAATATCTCAAATATAACTTGCTATTTGTAGCAATTTAAAAGACTCAGATTCCTTAACCAAGCAAATCAAAATACTCCACCTGCAAATTTATTGAAATGAACTAATGATCACTATCACATGATTAAAATAACATTTCAACTTACTATTATTAAAGTATCTGCTTGCCTCACACAATCAAATATTCAGCTATTACCATAAACACATGAGACATCAGCTGTCTACTTTGATCAAATGATCTATAATGTATCCCAGCCCCAAAGGCTGCACATTCTACATCTGTTCACCATCAGTGAACTGACTACACAGTTCCCAACTCTAATCACATAGGGTAAGCATGCCTTCTTTAAATGAAATAGGCTTCTATTCACTGCCAAGAACAGCTCTTAAAAACAGACTTCAAAAGATGAGCAAGAGTTGAAATGTTTGATCCATGAATCCAGGTAACGATAAGTCAGAAATGTATGGGTTGCTTCACTATGTGTCTTTAAAAGATTAAATATTTTGACAAAGTTGAATGAGCTTGTACAGAGAATCCCAAACCTAATCCATTCTCATTCTGGGTATATGGAAGATTTCTGAAGTACGCGCATTTGTGAGGATCAGTTTGTTATGTACCACCTTGATATTAAAGTGACCCAGTCCATTGTAAGAAAAAATCTTATTGCAAGACCCCTGCAATAGAAGAATCATTATACTCACCTCTCTGTTGGCCGTGTCTCTTACCTTCACTTTATTCCAGCATTGAAGCTTCCATTAGGCTATTCAAAATTGAACACTTCTGGGAGTGTCGGATGCCCATGTCCCCCACAGTGTGCTCCTCCAACATATCTCTGATATGTCCTGTAGTTATTCACTGTCTCCAGTCAAAGTGAGCTCTCTTCCTGACACTGGGACAGGAAGTGATAAAAACCTGATAGCTAGCCTTTCTATGAAAGAAAATAATGTTTTCTCTAGAATTCGGCTTTAAATAAAACAAGCTAAGAATGGGTATGGAGTGGAGGCTCAACTTTTACGTTGTTATAATGGTGTCATGGAAGATGTTCTGCATTCTTGATGTTGTGCATTTTGATACAATCTACATGAGCCTAATATGTGCTATAATTTATTCCAATGGAAAGTGCATTTTGCTGGAAACTGCACAAAAAATACTCAAGCAGGTTTATTTTTATTGCATGGCACCAAATTGCAAAGGTTTGAAATGGCCTTGAAGAATACCTATACATTATTTTATTAAGTAGCAATCATTTCTTATTAACTTTCATTACTTATTTTCTATTTAAACATAATCCTAAACACAGAGTTCTCTCTGAGGTGTTGAAGGAGGGTAAAGCAATCAATTATGAAAGTCTTAAGCTTTCTTTTATGTATTCATGGCAGCACCTATGTCAATTGACAGTTTTATGAGCATCTGTTATCACCACTGGAATGAGGCCAGACAAAGGATGGCCCCTGAGCCTGACACTGTGGGGATACTCATGGCCTACAAAGGAGAGAAATCGATAACCCTGAGAGGTAAATCTGCACTGTTATTTGTGGATATGATTTACATTAGTGCAAACACCTACTGGTTCTCTAAAGGGAAAACTTAGTTATCACTAAGATGTATAATATTGGTAAAGTGGTATTAACTAGGGCTGGTAATGATAAAAATTTTCGTGTTCGATTAATTACATTTTTTTTTAATTGATTAATCGATTGATTTTGATTAATTATAACGCACATACAGATCCAACTACATTGGCCTATACACATACAGCACAGCAATGGAGTATTACAATGAAGTAGGATCACACTAATCCAGCACGTTATTAATCTCATGTGCCCCACTCAATATGGCCGCCGCTTGAGTGGGGCAACTCAGAATAATAACGTGCTGGATTAGTGTGATCCTAGTTCATTTTATTACTTCATTGCTGTGCTGTATGTGTATAGGCCAATGCCTTGGCTGGCGCTCGTGCAGAAAGTTTTTAAAAAAATGTAATCGATCAAAAAAATTTTAATCGATCAAAAAGATTAACGATTAAGCGAGAAATTAATCGTTAATTTGCACAGCCCTGGTATTAACCACTATTAGAACAGAGGCAATTTAATTTTGATGTACATACATAAGCTGGTATTAGCTGCAATGCCACTGTTCTATTTGCAGTGATTCAGCAAGAAATCTCTGGGGACCATCCTTTATTTATTGATATACTGTACACAATATCATTCTAATGATGTCCTATTTCCCAGGAGCTATACCACCTCTAGTTAATTAGCTGGTCATGGATCTGTAAGATTTGTATCATTATAGTATCTTCTATGCTAATTTAATCCAGCACGTTTTCAAGACAATATTTTGTACATATAAAACTTTACAAGAAAACCAGTCCCTGATTAAATGAAACACATTCTAAAAAAGTCCAGATGAACCATTTTTCCAATCCCCTAGCAGATGCTCTCAATTAAACATTGTATAAATTAAGCCAAATTCTGACTCACTGATGGGAAATGAAATGGTTATCAGCTTGTTTTTTATCCTACTGTTGTTCCAAGACATTCTTTATGCAGGTCAAAAAGTAACATAAGGTTGATCAAATTCGGAATATATTCCCAAATATGAGAAGGTATTGTTAGTTAAAATGTTAGGTTAAAACAAGTAACTGCGACTGTAGGGGCACACAGTCTAAAAGCAAGTAGCCAGTGGCACTTCTGGCATTAGTGAGGGACCTACTGTTACAGAAACAGAAAAAGAAAAAAAAAGATCAAAGATATGAATATATACAGTATATATACTGTATATACCTAGAGAGAGAGAACCCCTCAACCTCACTTCCACAATGTTTTACCAGAATTCAAGAGTTCAAATCTATACACACACTAAAAACCCCAAAACTTTTTTGGGGGTTGACATACTCCTTAATGTTTGATCCTATAATGTTTTTAACTTTCCCCCCACAATTAGCAGATATATTAAGTTGTGAAAAGTAAAGTAAATGCATATTCTTGTGTATCTTTAAGGTTATGGTTTTATGCAACGTCTGTCCCTGCTAGATTCAGACAGGGACATAATATAGTCACTTTTAAAATAGGAAGTTCCTGAACAAGGACTTTCTGTCAGGATTAAAACATATTCTTTCAATAAAATCTACAGATTTAAGAGGATTAAAAATGGCTTTTGAAATTACATCAACCTAAAAGTATTATATGAGTTATTAGTGGTCGGATTTACATCCAATTTAGGTGCAGACAGTCAGCTATTTGTACCATTTTTTCCTCCACGGTTAGATACAGTTGTTTCTGGAAAATGCACCAACAACTCAAGAAGATACAAAGTCAAAATAGTTTGTACATGAAAATTCCCTATTACTTTATGTTTACAATCATGCTAGGAAGCTGTAAAACAACAGTAGAGCTCTTTGTTATGTTTTCTGTCCTCATTTGTCAGATCTGTATTACTTTCTTCCGTTGTATTTTTAAAGCAGACCCAGCAGGGGACACTCTCAATTCATGCTATCATTGCATTTTCATGTATTAAAGCATACATAGGGTCAGTGGCAACCACATAGAATAAGAGTGAATTGTTCCGGTTGGCCTTAACATACTTTGGAAAGTAGTCTAAAGCACTTGCTTGAAAATAACTACATCTTGTTAAAAGTACAAAATGAAAGTTAATGTGCCTTCTTAAGAGAGTAATGTATTGATTGTCTGGTGTGCACAGTCCGTCTCTATTGTAAATCAATGAAGTAGAAGTCCAACAGTCAGCTGTACGTGTTTTAAAGGGCTAGAGTGTATACATTTCAAGCGTACATATTGACATTCTGAAAAATACATGCAACAACACTGGTGTATGAAAGACTCTCTTGTGATTAATATCCATACTTCAAAGAATTACAGTAGCAACAGCCAGGAAGTCCTAAGCCTCTAAAATTACTAGTGGCTGATGGAAAGTGAAATCACAGGATGAATGAAGCCTGCTCACTCAATTCAGTAAAAACTAAACCAAACCACACAATAATTAAAATCTCCTCATCAGCAAACCAGCTCCTCTAGCATAATACTGTTCTGTCCTAGACTCCTCAGAGCAGGAAAGACGTTCTAAATTAAAAATGACACTGCTAATTAGTGACATTGTAGTAGAGACATGTGGCATGTTGGTCTGAATTACAAGGAGCGGATGTACGGATGACATGAACTTACTGATCCTGAAAATTATACCAAGGCAGAAAGCTGGAGAGATTTACTGAGCAAGGAGCACGTGTTCAGCAATCACAATTTTTATTTTTGAAGATATTTAAAGCAGAACTCCAGCCAACAAAAGCATAATAAAGATAATCAGCCCATTTAAAGAAACAATAATCCACAATCCACATTCCACAATAACAGGCAGCACAGTGGCGTAGTGGTTAGTGCTTCTGCCTTGCAGCACTGGGGGTCCCCGGTTTGAATCCTGGCCAGGTCACTATCTGCAAGGAGTTTGCATGTTCTCCTGTGCTTATGTGGGTTTCCTTCCACACTCCAAGGACATGCTGGTAGGTTAATTGGCTCCTCCCTAAGTTGGCCCTCTATGTATGCATGTGAGATAGGGACCTTAGATTGTGAGCTCCTTGAGGGTAGGGACTGATGTGAATGTGCAACTATGTGAAGTGCTGTTTAAATTGTCAGCGCTATGTAAATACCTGTAATAAATAATATGCCCAAAACATGCTGGTAGGTAAAGTGGCTCCTGTCTAAATTGGCCCTACTATGTATGTATATGAACCAAAAAAAAGCAAGATAAAGATATTTAGCCCATTTAATTAAACAATAATCCACATGCCAAAGTCATGCTGGTAGGTAAATTGGCCCTACTATGGGTAGGTATGTATGCATGGGAGAAAAGCGACCTTA